ATAATATAGCTGGAATATAAAAATATCAGAGTACCAAATAAAGAGAGTCAAAATATTCCATCTGTCTTAAAAATGTAAACAGGAATCTCCTACTCTTTGATGGCTTCATCATCAGCCCACTCTGGCTTTTTCAGGACGGATGCTGATGTGTAGTAAACAGGTTTATAATCATTGAATGGGATTTTCCAATCAACCTTATCATCTGGCACATGAGTTCTTTGTTTATCTGAGCGAGGATAAAGCTAAAAAAGACCCAAAAAAATTATATATACTCATCAACTGTATTAAATTTTTAACAATTTTAACCTTTCTTTAAATGATTAAAAAAAAGTATTATGACCTTGATATCAAGGGTTAATGGTATTTGCCATCAATACTGATAAGTGTAAGTTCAGTATAAAGACACATGTGTGTTTTTGACAGCCTTATTAGTGATTTTGGTGTGTTATCTAGCCTGGTAGGATGTCAAAGAGTGTTTTCAGCCAGCAGATGTGTTGTCAGCCAGTCAGGTGTGTTGTCAGTGAGTCCGGTGAGTTTAGTTTTATGTGTGTTAGTATGCATGACTTTAGTGCAATCAGTGAGTATTTGAAAAGCAGTTGTTTTATTCCAAATCATTTAATAGTAAAAATAAAGTAGTTTAAAAAATCATTTTAAATATTTAAAAAAATTTTGTTTATTATAACTAACTTTGATTTTGAAATTTTTTTATCTTTGAGTTTTAACCTGAAATATGAACACTAAATGTAAAATAAAACAACACAGTATAAACAACTTACCCCATTCCGACACTTGAAATGCAATTCCTCCATACTTGCCAAGTTTTCTTTATCCTGTGATCTATCCAAGTAGTGAGTCCTCTGAGCTATTACATACAAATATTTCTGATAAAAAAGCCTGAAATCCTGGATGCAGTGACAGGGCTTAAAGTTGGACTGTCTCCTTAATCTTGTTATCTGGTGTATGAAACTGAAAACATATACACATATTTTATTTAAAAATGGCATTTTTTTTTAGTTTCCATCAAAGTTTTGTCAATAGTTATCTCCCATTATCATTATCTAAAAATTGTTATGTTAAGTGTGATGACTCATTCATAAGTAATTTTCAATTTCATCTTTTCACAGTAAACATATCCCTTTAACTATGGTTAGGGTATCTTGTGTAGCTCAAAAAAAAAAAAAATTTCTTTGAGTGAGAGGGCAATCTAATGGATTATGTACTCCAACTCAAATTTTCAAGTACATTTGACATAAACAAAGAGCATATCATTGGAAAGAGCTGGCTTCCAGTTTCCCAAGATAAATTTTCTATCATTCATAGGAGAAAAGTTTTTAGTGATCTATTTTTCCCCACTATATATATAGCTTTGTTTTTAGTACTAAAAACTGTTATCATGTGTGGAACTCTTTTTGTACTATTTTTTGTTATCTTTTTGGCTTTTAAAGTGAGAGCTAAATTTTGGAGGATGCATTTTTAAAACAATGATTAACAAAACAAAACACATGAATTGTGAATTAATTTATTATATTTAATAAAATATGATCATAAAAATATAAGCATAAGGTGTCGTTAACGACAATTATTTTTACAAAAAATGACATCTATTAAACCAATAACGCTATTACTAAGTATTACTTTAAAATTTATCACTACAAACAGATAATGTCCATCTAAAAGTAAGTCAATTTTGAAAATTTATACAATTCAGATAAGAAAAATTTATACAATTTAGAAAAAAACATTTAATGGAGAGGGACCACAGCTGAGACAATTTTTCATTTGAATACATAACTTTTAAACTAATAAAGCTACTGCAATAAAATTTTGAGTACAAACAGATAGTGACAATCCAAATGTAATAAACTATTTAATTTTAATATTAAAAAGAAAATTCAAAACATTTATTGTGGACATGGTTGGTGGATGTGGCTCCAAAGCTCTAGCAACACTTTATCTTTACCCATTGGTTGATCAAAAATGTTTTCCTCCATCATCAGTATCAAATCAGGGTGTTGGTTGGCCTCATCCAGTTTGGAAATGCACATCCTTATGTGTGGAACCTACTGTTTAAAATAATGATTTCACAGTAATAATACATTAATTTTTTTTACTTCCTGTAATATTGGTAAATCCAACTTCCAGCAATACCAGTGAAAATCGTAATCACTTAAATTTTTAACTAGTTTCTATTTCTTGTTATATTTTCATTTGCCCTGTCTGCTGAGGAAGGCTCTTAGCCGAAACATTCTTATCTTATTGTTCTGTCTTTTGATTCAAGCTTCCACATACTTTGTTGTACTTTTTCCTTGTTTACAATAAATGAAAGGAACTAAAGAAATGCCATAATCATTTAAGCTGTAAAAAAAAAAAAAAAAAAAAAAAAAAAAAAAAAAAAAAAGAAAAAAAAAAAAAAAAAAAAAAAAAAAAAAAAAAAAAAAAAAAAAAAATTAAATTTTTCCTTGTTTACAAAAAATGAAAGGAAATAAAAAAAAGCCAAAAACAATTAAGCTGTAAAAAAAAAAAAAAAAAAACTAAGAAAAAGCAACATACAGGAGACACAAAAAAGCTCCATAAAGCAGAAAAAGTAAAAAAATAAATAATTAACATCTCCAAATGCTTGAGACCTTCAGAGTTCTTGTAAAAAGTAGCCATCCAGGGTACAGTTAAAACTTTTCCAAAGAGACCTATCGTGAATATGCCAAATAAAATATTAGTTCCAAAGCAATAGTAACAAGATGTTACTTGAAATTAATCTTAATTAATTTTTTTTAAAGGTATAACACTTAGGTTACGGAACATAAGACTCGTAGTTTAATGGCCTATTTAATTAATAATGCATAGCAATGTCAATAATTGATCAGACATGAGAATGGAATCATGGGCGAAATAGTAAATTAACTAATAAAACAGAAATGCAATTGTGTCTTGAATATGATAATGCACATCACAATAAGGCCTAATTTATCATATTGTTGAGTTCTTTTTTTGATTATGTTTCATAATGATAAAGGGTTTCAAAAATATATATTATATTTACTTTTGAAAATATCGTTTATGATAGTCCTGATACATAGAAAATGGTCACTAATAGGCTTACCTCAATTTGGTGACCTTGTTTAAGTTTGGAAAACTATAATTAAATGGGAAAATTATTATCACTCTTTAAAATAAGTGATATGTTTTCCAAAATAAATTATCTGTAGTTTTCTTTCATTTGTTACGTGATTTATATAGTTAAACAAAAATACTAATGTTCAAACACTTACCCAAAGTTCAAGCTCCAACTTTTCATCTCAGTGTGTCCGATTGAAATAGTATTTATACCCCCTGCAGCGGAATCCAATCCAGTATTAAATTAAAAGAGGGAATTTAAGAAAATGACACATACAATTGAAATCATAGACACAAAATGAAAATGGTCAGTGTCGCCTGATCACAGCAGTTGACCTGCTGTTTTATACGGCCACCAGTGTGAGTATTGGAGTAACTAAATGGATAACAATTAGTTTTTGACTGTCGCTCTGTCCTCCTTAGTGTACATAAAAATCCTGGCACTCCTCAGAACGGCGGTCCCAAATAAAAATAGTATACTTTTCGAAAGAAAGTGTCTGGCTACCAGCCAAATAGCCGCCGATAATTATTGATGTATTTTTTATGTCTAATTGTGTTTGCAGACAAATTACTGCTTGTAATAATATAAAATAAACAAGACCATGGCCGGCAGACCGCAAGCGCCGGTTCATATTTCATTTCATTAATGAAATTAATGTTTTGTCAGGAAACATTCTACAAACTTATCACACAATGCCGAGGGCACTGCTAAATGCTTTGGTTAGTGTGGCTTGCTGAACAGTACCGAAAAACTGTCTAACATAAAACAGCAATTCAAATATAAAACAGCAATTCAACAGAGATAACTTTTGTTTCTCTCTTGCATTTTTCTTTCTTTCTTTTTTTCAGGAGGTGATGATGGTGATGAAGAGCCTGATGATAAGGCTGATGAAGATCGCAATGTTTAAAAAAATGAATACATTTAAGTCACCAATTATCTGCAGCATATGGCTGGTATATTTTTAATTTGGGACCACCGTTCTGAGGATTGCCAAAGCCAAATAGGGTGTACATTCATTATCAGCATGTAGGCGTAGGGCCCACTAAAGTTAACGACTAAAGAAGAAAGTCAATTCTAGTTGGCCTGTACAGACTACTTAGTACTAGTACTACAAACAGACCAGTAGTAACTGTAACTATATTAGTATTAGACTTATTATTAGTAAGTATTAGAATAACTTAAGAGTTCTATTCTATACTACTGGCTACTTGACTACTACTACTAGTAAAAGTAAAGTTGCTCTAACTCTAGTCCTAAGTCTGTCTTATTTAAGTATAATCATATAAGGCAAGATTTTTTTTAAGGGCGATAATATAATAAGGTTAAGGCCAAGGCGCCTAGGCTAGTAGTTTGTGGTCTCACTTAAGTAACGACTAAAGCCTAAGGCTAAGGCCAAGGCTAAGGTATCCTCTTTTTTAATTTTAAGTTTACTTATTGATTAAGTAGTAAACTATTAAGTCAAGTACTTAAGACGTAAGGGACGAGAGGACTATATCGTGTTTCAAAAAAAAATACAACACTTGAGTTGACTATCTACCTTTGGTACATAATAATTTCAAAATGAAAAGCAGTATGTTACACTACATCAAAATATAAAGTATTATCCTACGTGTGGTGATCATTCGTGTTCTTTCTTGCATTTGCATGCTGCATACAAAATAAACATAACAATTAAAATGGGTCCGTATCTGGAATGTGAAAGTTAGTTTATTTCATGGAAATATTTATCGATACTAAGTAATTATTGGTTTTTCATAACAGATTTTGATAGATCGACTATATCTTATTAATTTATTATATCGATACCATATTTCTTTGAGGCCAGTTTGTTTATTACAACAAAGGCGCTCAATGGATTTTTAAGCGTTAAATGTCATATATATATTATTATTTGAAGGGAAAAACGTGACTACAAGTATTTAAAATACAAAATAAAATTATATTTTAATATACAAATTTGGTGCAAAAAATAATAATCAAATGAAAAACAGCCACCAATCTTGGTTAAATTATCTTACACTGCGAAAAACTGCCATCTATTCGAACTGTAACTGTTTCACATCAGACAGAATAAAGAATTAACAATCCAAAGACAGATATCTAGAAAATGCCAGTCCTCGTCGTTGCAACAAACTTAAAAAAGGATCAGATTCCCGAAAACTTCCTTCGGGAAGCAACAAAATTGATTGCAGTTGAGCTCAAAAAGCCAGAATCTGTTAGTAGACCTATATTAATATTTTATTTTATGAAATTAATAAGAACAATTTTAAACATTTTTTTGCGGAATATTAACAAAATCTAAACTTATATTTTGCTTTATTTTTATTTAACTTAGAAGAACTCATATTTAAGTTATTATTTAACCATGTTTCCTGTCAATATTATATATTTGTCTCATTTTATAATGAAGTTATAGGCATAGGCGTAAAAACAAGAGCAAAAAGAGGGTCACGAAATGTGGAAGAAAACTCCATGCCATGCCATAGTAAAAAAAGTGGTTTTGAGGTCCTTACTAAAAAATTCATAACTTTTGAATTGAACCACTTGAGCTAGAAAGGTGATCTTGGTGTTTTTGTAATCCATTCTCTTGGCTCTAAAAAGTTGTAGCATTGTTATATTTATAAAAATGTTTTGAAATTTTATAGGCCGGCACTACGTACACCGCGGCGGTGTACCTAGCGAAACTATTGACTTTGGCCTGCGTACACCGCGGCGGTGTACCTAGCGAAACTATTGACTTTGGCCTGCGCACACCGCAGCGATTTAAAGTAGCAAAACCATGGTCTTTGCGAGTCTTTAACTTTTTGGCCTAATTGGTACTTATAGATTTAATGTTATGCTCTTGTTAAGACTGGAAACTATTTATTTAAAATCGTTGAGTACCTTGGGAGGAAGCTTTTGAGTAAGTTCCACACTTATAACTTATGTGGCAAAGTACTTGTAGAGCATTTCTTACTTATTGGAAGGGAGGGGGCCGGGGGTGTAATGTTAAACCATGATTTATTTTTAAAGTTAACCACTTTATTTCCCCCCATATATTGAAATACGATTATATTTATTAATTATTAAAGTTTTATCCTATGATTGTGAATCTTAATAGGCATAAAAAGGGTAGCTAATTTGAAATTATTCTTCCCCCCCCCTTTTGTTTTTTTTTGGGGGGGGGGGGGGTGGGAGGCATGATAATAATAAAATTGTATGTGATCCCTCTGGGCGTGGTGTAAAAATGAATGGGAAGCCAGTGTATCCATTTTGTTAGCACCAAGATACAATTACGCCACAAATACATTAGGGGAAGAGAATCACATACATTGATCGTGAAGTTAAAGTTGTCCCAGGCCATTCTGGAAACACGACCATGCACATTAATATTTATATGATATCATTGATAAAGTGTATACCTGTTACATACACTATACATGCGCTTTCAGAAACTTTCAGTTTGTTTTCTAATGTCATACTCATATTACCAGTATTTTTTTTTAAAGTCAAAGGCCGGCACAACTTGTTGAAACGCTTAATAATCAGTTAATAATCTGAATATAACATATATTTAATTTAAATTGTTTTAATTGCTATAAAATATTTAAAAACTTCTCAGGAAACTACTGTTACAAATGAAAATGATAATTTAAATATAAAATATTTTTAATTAAAATGGGCAGAAAACAAACTCGATCCCCTACTGGGAATTGAGCTCAAAATATACTATTGCCAAGCGTCCACTCTACCACTTGACCACACAAGATCTTATTCGACAGGCTTTTCTTAAAACCAGGCCAATGGTAAATTTTTTCCGCGGTGTACCCAGGCCAAAGCCCACGATTTCACTAGGTACACCGCCGCGGTTTACCCAGGCCAAAGTCGGTGGTTTTGCTAGGTACACCGCCGCGGTGTACGCATCCACTTCGAATTTTATATTATTTATAAAGAATTAATATAGAATTTCTACTTGAAGTCTACTAGTAGCACTGGTTTAAATAGATTACCCAGTTGAAGTAGACTTTTAAAAATTTAAATAACTATCAGTCATCCTACTAAGGCAGCGGTTCTCAACCAGTAGGTCATGACCCCTTTGGGAGTCGAATGACTTTTACACAGGGGTCATCTAAGACGATAGGAAAACACATTGTTATGAGGTTGCAACGAAATAATTTTATGATGAACTGTATTAAGGAGTCGTGAAATTAGGAAGGTTGAGAACCACTGTACTAAAGGAGTCAGCCTGCTACTTCTGGGCATCTTACTGGGTCTGGGTAGTACTAGTAATTTATCCCGCTAATTCTTATGATTGCTTATGAAATACTTGCAAACAAACAGCATTGACTTTATGTGTAAAATGTAAGGCAGTTGTCAATGACCTTTCGAATGAGTGCAGGTAATTGTGGGTCCGTTATCTTGTTCCTCCTCCAAGTCAAATTGTTTAGTCAGAATAACAATAAAGGAATAGTGAATGAATTAAATTCTTTTACTAGACCATACCAATCGGGCAATGGTCTCAAAATTAATTTATAAATGAAAATATGAAAATTCATTTGAGGTACCCAAGATTTATAATTATTGGACTGATAGGAGATTACTTGAATGAGCAGATTATAATTCAACAGAATATTATTGGACCTATTGGTATGATCTAATCTATTTAATTACAAAATTAAATAGATGGTGCATGGGGGTAACAATAACAAAAGTTAGACCCAGTATGGTACTTTAAATTAAGCCTACCTTCAGTTTTTGTTCCTACATGTTATAACTCTTAGTGACAGTTTTTCATCCTTGTATTGTCAAGAGGCTAACTTTGTTAAATAAACTTTTGTCTCATATAATTAATAATATTGTAAAAATTGACTTTCAATTTCAAGTATGTGCTAGTGCAAGTGAATCCAGATCAATTAATGAGTTTTGGTGGAAGCCAAGATCCATGTGCAAACATCTCCCTCAGCAGCATTGGTGTTGTCAGTGATGATAAAAATAGGAAAATGGCTCCAAAGCTGAGTAATTTTATTGAACAGCACTTGGGAATTAAGCAAGATAGGTTAGTATGGGCATCATACAGTGTAATGATTTAGCAAAATATTATTCTGTCCCATGTATAGATATGGCTCTTTGGAGCATTAAAGAAAATTGAAAAATGCTTTTTTTTTTAAAAAATATATATATAAAATAAAGAAAAGATTGGATGATCTTTATTCTGAAAAGATTATTTTAGGTCATAAAAATTAGGGGTCGCAAACCGGGATCCCGACTCTCTAAAATACCGGGATACCAGACTATAACCGATGCTTGAAAATACCGGGATTGGATTTATTAAAACTGGGATTTTTAAAATTTCTGTTATTTCATTTTCAAAAAAATATATATCGCTTTCTTAATTTCCATGTGGTAGTTAAAGCAAGACATATCAATAATTTATGTGATTTGCGAACATCTCACACCAAGTGTCTTAAGTTCAAAGAGAGACAACCAATGGACTAGATCTGTGTACTGTGATTCATTTGTAAAGAAGCATTGCATTTAGCTTTGTTTTTACATCGTGCATGTGAGTGTGTGTAAGAGGAGACACGATTATGTAAATGTACAGGATTGATAAGTAAATGTTTTCATATTATTGACAAACAAGACATTCGTATGGTCGAATGATGATCGAATGTTGACTTGCATTAACAGTTTGTAATATGAATTATATGGAAATAATAACACAATGCACTCGAATCACGGGGTAAACTTTTTATACTGGTAACAAAATTGTTTGATTGCTTGATTTACTTTGTCAAATTACCTACATATTTAAAACTATGACTTCATCTGTATTTTGTTAATCAAATCCTTTAAATTTAAGACACAGAAAAATTATGTTACATCTATTTTGTAATAAAATTATAAATAATTCACCTAAAAATCGATTTTCTTTTTGATATTAACAATGCTCAAGCTATTTTGTCCCAGGCTGAATGTCCCAGTTTGTACCACACCCAGCCAAACATTTACATGAAAATTTAAACATCTTTTTTTTTTCAAGTTGTTCGTGTCAAAGTCAAAGCAATTCGATGTAAATAAATAAAATAAATACATTTTTGTTAACTAACATTTATTCTTATAATGATTATTTTCCTCCAGGTTGATAAAAAGAAGTGTGGGGGGACCTTGAAAAAATAACCTAAAAATGAAAAGCGTATGAAACTATTGGAAACAAAGACATCAGCTTGGTATTATTTCTTGAAAGCTACGGACAATCTCTCAACTAAATGTATTATATGTAACAAGATACTTTAAAACATTGGGAGGCACAACTTCAGGCCTTCACACTAATTTAAACGCTTCACATTCCACCGTCTTGAAAGATAGCGCCCTTTCTGGTACCAGTACTCTAAGAGTACTTCAGAAACATGTAAAAGAACAAATTCATTGTGACCTTAATTTGATTTTATATTGCATCACAATGTGGAATAGTTTAGCAGACATGTTCTTCTTCTTATATTTGATGGGCCCACGATCAATTTGTTGATCATTCTGGCTCCTGGTTTAAATTCAGAGTTTGCCTTCTCTTAGATGGGTTGCCGTCCAAGGCTAACGTTTAAAAATCGATCTTGACATATTTCAACACAAGTTTGTAAGACTATTCAAACTCAGTAAAATATTTGAAATGCTGAAAGCAACGGCAGAAGAACTTTGCAAAAGAAACGGCAACTTAATAAATAGAATCTGGTCTGGCTTTGGTGCCTATGTTTAAAAAAATTAGATACCACGCATCATGAAATATTTGCATGTGAACTTGTTGCCTCTCTGAAGCGTCAGATTAAAGAGCGCAGATTTTTGCTAGCTTCAACATTGAAATACTTGCATAACCCTAAGATGTACTTTGATTCGCCTAATGACTACTTGGACGTATTTCTAAGGCCAGATTGCGAAAACATATCGTGGACATTCAAAAGCTTGGTCAAACAGCGGATTCCTCATTGGAAATGTCTACGGACAATGAGATTGAACAGTTAAATGAACATCTTAGATCTGAGCATGACGAACTCGACGACACACTGCCGATTAAGAGACATTTAGTTTAAAAATTGAAATGCAAAAGAAACTTCAGCCTCAGTATTATACTTCCAGACCAACTAATGGAAACATTGATAAAAATATAGAGATGGCTGTATTTGAGAATGGCGGATCAAGAGGAAAATATCTAGAACTAGAAATTGTATATGATAGCCTAAGGTCTATTCCTCCGAACAGTGTCTGAGCAGGTGTTCTCGTCATCAGGTTACTTTTTTAACCATTTGCAGTCAAAATTAAGCAATTAAACATTAGACACGTCATTTTTATGATCTCATTATTTAAATTCGACCAAAGATTAAAACAACACAAATTATTATAATATTTGATTAAAAAGTTAAGAACATTATTATTGTTTGTTTAATTAATGTGTAAAGTTAGACATTAGTGTTATTGTTAAGGATTACGGTATTTAAAATCAAAATGTGATTTTTTTTCCGGAATGTTTTCTATTTCATTGATAAACTGTCACCTCTAATTCTAATCACCACTAAACATTCTCTAAATATTGAAAATATCGGGATTTCGGTATTCATAAAACTTCAATACCCGGTATCGAAAATACCAATTTTGATAAAAGGGACAGGTGTTGCGACCCCTAATACACATGCAATATTATCATTTTTTTTATAAAGTTTATCATTTTGTTTATTGTGTCCAGGTTTTACATTAATGTCCATGACATCAACCGGGCTTGGTGCATTTGGAATGGCAGCACATTTGGCTAAACCTGTACAAAATTGATGCGGCACAAGAGACTTTTTTCTTTCTTTTAGTTTTTAATGTTAAGAAAACAAAGTTCTTGATGTTGTTAGTTTTAATTCCATTGTATCAAAATTTACGTTTTTTTGAATAAGTATCTTCTTGAAAATAAATAATGTTTAAAATTTAATATGTTATTTCTTTGTCTTGTACTGTATATAGCAGCATTTGTCAGTATAGTCTTATTAGGTGATAGAGAGTACTGTTACAATTCTTGTCTATAAATAACATACCATAGATATTAATAGGAGATATCAAGTGATAGACCACAAAGGGAAAGAAATATTCTCAGGAACATATTTAATAAAACCTCCCATGTGGTTTTCAAGTTGAGAAAACTTCATTATGTTAAAAGATAATGAAATTTTATAAAACAACCAGTGGAAAACTAATTTTAGTCCATGGTTACATTTCTATTACTATTACTATTACAGAATGAAATATTATCCATGTATAGATATGGCGCTTTGGGGCATTAAAGAAAATTGAAAAATGTTAAAAATGTTTTATTTTATAATTTACCAAAAGTTGACAATCTCTTCCATACACAAGGGGGAGAAAAAAAGTAAAATTAATTACAGATGCTACAAATACATTAACTTGAGGTTTTGAGGAAAGTATAAAGTTCAGTTATGAAATAATTTAAAATACTGTACAGAAGACTCATATTTAAAAAAAAAAATTGATGTAAATGTAAGAAATTATAGATAAAAATTAATTAAATATTTATATCTCATGCAATAAAAACTAAGACAGTTTTAAATTCGAGCAATAATACAAGGTAAATAGATGGGAGAAAATAAATATTAAAAATCAATTTTTAACTTTCCTCTTTGAAAAGCAACTGTTAACTCTAGTAATGTATTTATATTTTGAAAAAACTATGTATACCGGTATGTACTTTTCATTTATTCTCAATTCATGAATTAATTGGTTTAAATAAAATAAGCATATTTGCAAATTAATGAATTCTCCTACAAGCAATTTTAACAAGAAGTCAGTTGTAATTAAAAGATCGTATTCTCAAAATTGCATTTTTGCATTTAAACTTCATTGTCAGATAACTGGAGATTCAAATATTAAATATGCTAGAAGAAGATAAGCAAAATTGATCCCTACACTGCACACAAATATCAACGTCATTATGTTTTTTTTTTTAGAAGATTAAATGTTAGTGGATGAACAGTATGAGTTATTGAAGTAAAAAAATTAATTTAAATAAATCAAAATCATAATGCTATGTTACAAGAACACAATAAAATAACACCAGTTAAAAGAGGGAACTCATATTTCTTCATTGAATCATAGTCATGGATTTTGCACCTACCGGTACTGTAATATAATTGTATTTATTGCAAATTTAAAAAAAAATTATTATTGTTAAAATCCAAAAGATATGTCATTTTTAATGAAAACAGAATTTCTGTGTAACAAAGTGGAGATTCTTTTTTCAACGAGAATCCTGAAAGGAATTCATTGTAAAAAAATAAAAATTTAAAGCGGCTTTGCCGGACATAGAATAGATTTAACAGTTATAACATAGTGGGAATTTGCTGAGGTTATGGTCACTCGTGTCTCTTTAACACAGCAATAACCTGATTACATGTATAATGCTTACAATAAAACCTAGAAAAATGAACAGATTTAAATTGTAAGTGAACACTTTGAATGTTAACCCCAATGAAACTGCAATTGTTAACAAAACAATTCTGTCATTGCTTATAGTACTCAGATGATTTCTTAAAAATATGTGAATCTTAAAAATATGTGAATATTTTTTTTCCCCTTCTTAATCTATTGACTTTTGCAGTCTTAAAAATTGTCAAATAATCATTATAATTTTTATATTATTATTAGCCAACATAAAAAGACTTCTAAATAATAATATATCAGGGAGAAATAGCCAACATAAAAAGACTTCTAATTTCTCCCTGATAAGTACTTAATATTGCCTTAAACTTAAAGTGAAAACACAACAATTTAAAAAATAAATATATATTACAAATGTATTAATTTAAAAAAACTGGTTGAACAAAATTTTTGAGATATTTTTTGATGTCTTCATCATTTCAAACATGAAAGTTATGGTCTCACAATTTGTGTACTTTATTTTTTTGAAGAAAAAAATACTACCTCATAAATATATTTTTATACATCTCAACAATTAAATCTTGTCATTTAGACTTGTAAACATTCTGTAGAAGAAAGAAACAACCTCCCAACAAAAAAAGAAAATCTACAGTATGTCACAATTAGATTTTCATGTAATAGATACATTGTCTATTTTAAAGCCCATAATTTTGATAATTCAACACATTTTGATTCTTAAAAAATAGATGGATGTATAGAAACGCCAGAAACAACCTAGAGATAAATAGTTTAACTATAGCATTTTAAAATGCATTTTCTATTTTAATTGCATTTATATGTCATTCCTAGGTTTTGTAAAACTAGAATATCAAAGCAACAATAAGCTAATGAAAATATTAAGAAATAATGTTAAAATACAACAAGAAAAAAAACTATTGTGATGGGACAATGCCATTAAACAATGATCGTGGAAACACATAATAAACACTGTGATCAGTTCAATGGGTATCTGAATATGACCAAATGTCATGTCATAATATGGACTGTGATAAAATTAAATAGTCTGTGTTCATAATATATGGGTATGTACATATATGAATATGTACATACAGTTTTGTAACACTAACAATAACAACACTAAATAATGACATAAATTTAATATCATTCTACTTATAAAAACATTTTCCTGTGCAACAAAGGAAAAAGAATACAAGAGAGAAGGATTCAGATACTCAACCTTTGAAAGAAATAAGTTAATGATCAAATCACATTCTGCTCCTTAGTCAAAAAGAAGAGAGGCTTACCATATTTTTTTTTGTTAAACTTGTGAAGTTATAAAAATTTCATCCTTGACAGCTGCAGTTATGTTATTTTCAATTTATGTCACTCATTTTCTACTTACATTCTCTTATTTAAAAACATATTTAAAGAACTTAATTTTAACAAATTTCTATGTTTGAACTCAATGATTAGTGATGTTTTCTTTAAGCCTTATTTAAGTTTTTTATTGTTGGACTTGAAGACAAATTTATTGGTAAGTTTAACTTACAGTGAAATCAATCTTCTAGCTTCCCATACAATGTAATTTGGATCTAGATACTAACAAAAAAAAAATCCAGGCAATATATAAAATTTATTTAACGGCATCAATAATAGTTAACGTATCGTTGTGACAGATGAGCAAAACTTAACTCTAAAAAAAACAATCTTTTCCTTGGAACTTTTATATTTTTTACACCATAAGCGAGCTTCTCACTGAAAGTACAGATAAATACGAATACTTTTTACAAGTGCAGCTTAACTTTCATATTTCAATGAAAGTGATCATCGCTCAATCCCAATCTCCTTCCTTCAATTTCTGTAAAATGTGGACAGACTTATCATCACTTATATAAGTCCATAATTTCCGTTTCAAACATGATATTGATAATAGATTCATTGCATTTTGAGTTTAATAAACAAAACAAAAATTTAATAACATAAATAAATCTTTTCTTATTGTCGATTAGTACCTCATGTAAAGGATGTACATTAATTCACAAGCTAGTCACTCCTTAAACAACTATCAAATGAAGAAGTTGGATAATTTACTCCTAAAACATACCTTTTTTTGGCGCCAATGAAAGCAACATTAAGACAGAGCAAAAACTCAGTACATTGAAACTTACCATCCTCATTATATTTTACCATGAATATCCAAGCATCCAAGAAATTTTAAGTGCCTTAATAGAATTCCTACTTTTTTAACAAATTCATTGGGTCCTTGACCCTGTAAATAACAGGCTATGCAAAGTTTAAATACTTGGCTCCCCAATAAAAAAAATCATTTTCTATGTAAAAAAAAAAAATATCAGTATTCAAATGATATATTTTAATGTGTGATCTTAAAGTTTTCGGTCACAATCAGCTACCGGATAGTGAAAAAGTTGCATTTAAACAGATGGGAGTTCTGATCATTGTGAAAACAATTCTAAAAAAAATTTGATAGTTTCTGCCTTAGGTTTCCCCAAGAAGCAATAGAAATTATAATGTATTGTGCTGAAGGTCTTAATGATCACATGTTGTCTGCTCTAAAGTAAAAAAGCCAGAATTTTCAACATTTCAATTAGTGTTCTCAATAAAAAAAAGTTAACAAAATTATCTTATTTAATAATTAAATTATCAACCCCTATTCAAATCATAATTTTAAATGTCATATTCCATTCCTATAGACAAGCCTAAATATAAATATAAAACATATATTACATCAACAAGATCAATAAAAGTTTTCACAACTGATAATAACTTATAGCATTATTTAGAAGCGTGTTTTCACAACCTTTCTCTCTATATTTAATTTACAGACGAATTGACTTCATATTACAGAAGATCATTCTATACCTATAAAAACACTACCTGTAACTTTAAATGTTTATTTCATTCTCTAGTCAGATAGAAACATCATATTAATATATAATGTTAAACTTGTAGTCATTTTATAAAATGGGAGAAATATTTCAATTCCACCTGAATCACTTTTATTGAACTTAATACAAACCACAAATATCTTTAAGAGTTCATTTTAAATTCAATTAAACATCTAAATACTAAGCAAAGCATTGAACTTTGAAACTTTTTCTAAATTTATTCCAATATAAGTCAGTATGTTATTTAGTTGTTTTTTTTGTTGTTATTTTAGCACTCTTCATTTCCTTAAGTTTTGTATTTTATCTGTGATGTATGTACATTTGTCTGAAGATTATTAGGTCTCAGGGCCTAATTATAAATATCCTAGTAGAGGGATTAAAGTTTGTGAACAGTTCAAATATGAGAAGCACATAAACTTAATATATATAATATGTATATACCAGCACACAAAAATGTAAAATTTACTTAAAATATATTGACTTAGATATCACCAAAAAAAGCCATTATTTTACATACATGTTGGGCCAAATAATAATAAAATATTTACACCAGCAAGAACACATATAATAATAATAAAATGTCAAAGTAGGACCCGATTTAATTCCATCTTACACTTAATTATGCACAGAGCTGTTAAAAGTTCCAAAAAATAAATTAAAAAAAAAAAAATTAAATGCAAAGAATTAATTTGATGCTTAGCTCTGAAATTACAATATAAACAAAAGTAAAGCTCCTTACTAAAATACTAAAAAATCACAAAGATTAAAAAATAGAAAATTCAAATAAACCATCAGCATGTGCCAGATAATATATTAGGGTATATTTTGGCAGAGTATATGCTTAGTGCACTTTTATGAGTAGATACACAAGTAGAGAGATGTATTCACTAATATATGGCATTACCATACAGTTCAATAATTCAACAATACTAACAAAATTGTCAAATACATTTTTGCACATACTTGTTGAGGTATAGGGAGAAAGGACTTAAGGAGTTAAAAATATGTACAGAAAGTTTAGAGATGCTCATTTTAAAAAACACTTTTAAACTACAAAAAGGTCTAATCATTGATTTTATCAATTTCACTTTCCAATTACCAAAACATTTAGGTTGATAAAAAACAATCAGAAGCCAATTTTTTTAATGTAAAATGCCAGCAGTAACAAGACAAAAAATAAGGAAGTTTAATTTTAAACAATCTTTTTATGAATTTTATAATTAGTATACAAATTTTGTTTAACTTAAAAATTGTGAAGAGCAAACATCTCTAGACCTCTCGATTGTTGTGGTTTATTCAGCTCAAGTAATAATTTTTGCTAAAACAGAAAATGGTGTATGTAGGACAGACCTGACATTAAACTGGACGCAAGACATATAAATGGAGTATATATTAGTTCAAGGTTCTTCAAGCACTGCCTCACTAAGCTGAAGACTCCTTGAGATTGTCAAAATACTCCATGAGCTGCTCATAAGTCATGCCCATAGCTTCGTAATCCCACTCAGCTTCGTTGTAGCCCATGCCACAGTCATTGTCAGGAAGTGGGTTAGATGTGATTCTAATACTGCACTCAGAACCTTTGTAGGTTGAAACCATGCTATTGCGGTTGCTTTCTGAAACTGAAGACCCACTTCCTGTGACACCACTAGTACTGTTGCTTACATTCAGTTCACTGCTGTTGGGCCTGCGTGGCTGACGCTGACGGTCAGAGGGTAAGGCATTGGGCACAACCATCTGATTACCATTAAAATCTTCCTCTGCCATCAGTGCATGATTACATCCAGCACTTCCAGCTCCATGTCTTTCCAGTGTTGCTCGACCAATCCAGACCCAGTCGGGCGCCTGTGAGATGGATCCGGTCATAACCCGAGAGCTCTTGGGGGAGCGCTTTCGCTGGTACCTGACCATGAACACAGCACAGTTGGCTGTGAACACCAGAATGGCAAACACAAACACTGCTACCAAAACATACATCCCTATTTCAAGGGGTGATGGATGCTTAGCCTTGGTACTGACAGGCTGCTCCAAAGCTTCCGACTTGGGCTCTTTAGTGTTTTCTGAATCAATGTCTGATGCAGTAAAGGTTTCTAAAATATCAGAGACTTCTTCCAATGGAAAAACCTAAATAAACATTATAAAAGATTAAATAAGGAAAATAGGCTGAATAGCTTTGCTTGAAAAAAAATAAGGCAATTTTTTTTTTAAACATGGCATTCTTATAAAACTTGTACCAGGTAATGATAACCCAGATTTAGAAAGAAATTAAGCTTGCACTGAGCTTCTTATATTTTAACAGCTGACACATAGGACATCTGCATGCTAGAGAAAATGTTCCAATATATTTATACAATGATTGATATCTTGTTTCAAAGCATAAAGAAGGACAAACTATTGCCTGCGGTAGAAAGTATTCACAAACCTATAGTGAGCAGAGGTAATCTTAAGAGACACACATTAAGAGAAGACAGGTTTTCAATTTTGAATTTGAATCCAGTTTAGATAAAATCACGTTCATCAGGTAAAAGAAAGGGAAAGATGAGTAACTTCATTTAAGAAAATGTTACATTTATTTACTGATACGAATAGTATCCTAACATTACTATTCCAGGCTAGATTGGAAATTATTTATATGGCTTAAATATAGCCCTTTCTGTTATGGAGTTTAATTTGATGAAATTCAAGAAACTAAGTGCACCTATATTAATTAACATTAATGTATTTAATACAAACAATGCCTCTCTCTATGCTGCTAATTTTGATTTACAGTGATCTGTGGCCCTGATTTTGTTTTTCTCAAACTATATTCCAACATCAAGTTTGCTATTCATGATTGAGTAGGCTATCTTTAAAAATGGAAAAAGATACCAACAAATTTAAATCATGAACCCCAAAGCTCCCAGTTAGCAAGCATGAATTCAATTTCAATAAAGCCAAACAAGAATGCAATCCCATCCTAGAAATATCCAGTGAAAAAGAGATGAAATGTACCTTTGGACCTGATTTGGCTAACTCAGCCTCTTCTTCCATCTCTTGCTGTTGTTTGTTGGCCAGTTGCTGCTGGTGCTTGAAGTATTCTTCCTTGTTGTTGTAGTGTTGTTCATGTTCATTTTTAACTGGTCTGCGTTCATTGGCACGGTTAAAATAAAAGCCATCACTTTGTACCAGATTGTAGAAGTCCATGTCTTTGGCAAAATCAACCTGAAATAAGTACATGATAAAATTAACCTCAAATAAATCCATGAAAACCTCTTGGAAATTATATGAATCTGATTTTAATTGTTACATTTTTAAAATATACTAATATATTCTGTATTATTCACATTTTAAAATAGAAAAAAAAATATTGAGACTATCACAACATCATTTTCATCAAGAAAAGCTTACCAAAAAAATGTCACTTAGAGCTAGAAATGACTGGACATAGAATTAAAGTAGAAATGCATCATACCTGGACATGCACATATTCAGTGTCCAAGTTCCGAGCAGTCCGTTTGGAGCAAGTTTCACTTTCTCTGAGGATAACCCTGATAATTTCACCTTTACCATTGCCAATGGCCTTGATACTGGGAGGAAGTGTGGGTGCTGTGGTAGAAGACACTACAACTTCAACAACATCATGGTTCATGGATGTAACCTCAAGTTCATATTCGTCAGGCGTGATACTCATCAATGGCAACATTGAGCCATCCTTGAACTCCACAGCTATATCAAGTACTGCTTCCTGTAGAAAAAAAAAAAATCAAACAACTTTAGTTAGGCTTTTCTGTGAAAAAAACTGAAAATGTTAATCCAGACAGGGTAGTTTTGATTTTAAGTGTCTATGGTAAATATTTAAGAGAGATAGTTAATTCTGTTTAAAATAAGATTAATATAGACTGCTTCCCCATTCACAAGGCATTTAAAATAATTTGTTATAAACGCTAACCTGTTTTTTGGCTACAAGCTGGTCTCTGAGAAACACTGTTGCCAGTAGAGCACCAGGCAAGTTTTTGTCCTCAGATATGTGTATTCCCATGCCACTGATGACTCTTACCATGAGACGTTCAATTCCTACTTTGTCTTTTCCTACTCTGACTTCCTTGGACCCTAGGAGCTTGCCAGTGGGAGATATTACCTAGGTTTACAAAGTTAAACTTCATATGAACCTCTCAAGTCGTTATCGTAATGCTATAAGTATATTTTGTATCCAATGCCATAATAAGATTTTGCATCCAATGCCATAAAAAGAATAAGCACCCAGTTACACAAGTGGCTGAGGTAAAACTAAACTATAGTCAGAATCCCATGTTGAAAATGACAATACTGCACAATGATTATGCCAACAAGAATTATTTACCCTCGAACTGTGGCATGCACCATTCTGTAGTGTGGGAGCTTTTCAAACCTTTTTGAGTGCCTTTTGAAATTGCATTAAATAAAATAGAAATATTGATGCAAGACCCCAATAAGTATATATTTTTAGAGGAGTAATTTTATGTCATTTATATAAGAAACTGGGACCACAGCTAAAACAAAATCTCAAGAAAAATAGTTATTATTGAATAGTAAACATTTAAAAAGGAACCGTTGAACTGATTTGGGTTGTTTAACTATAAAATTTATTAGTTCTGATCTATAATCTGTAGCTTCTGTGACTAAATTTCAGTCAGTCCTTGCCCAACCTCCGGGCCTGGATCAAAGTTTAACAGTAGGCCTACTTCAGTATCACTAAGACTAGTATAACTTCACAAGAAGAATACAGACCTACCAACCTGCTAAGAAAAAAAATCGGGGGGGGGGGGGGGGGGGGGGGGGGGGTGTGTTTGCAGGGGGGGGGGAGGGGGGGGGCGGGCCCCGGGGGGGGGGGTTGTTTTAAGGTCTATAAACAAAAGCACTCAGTAGGCCTACTTCAGTATCACTAAGACTAGTATAACTTCACAAGAAGAATACAGACCTACCAACCTGCTAAGAAAAAAAATCGGGGGGGGGGGGGGTGTGGTGGTGTTGTGTTTGCATGCAGGGGGGAAGGGGGCTGCTGACCCCAGGGGGCGGCGTTGTTTTAAGATCTATAAACTAATGCACAGGCCTTTTTATAGTAAATAAATAAATATAAAGTTACCTCCATTGTCTTTGAAGAGTCCAGAGAACATGAGAAAAACATTACTGGAAATTTGTATATACAGTACAGGGCAGAAGATCCATTTATTTACATAGGTACACAGGCTGCTAAGAGTTCAGTTTTCCAACATGACCATATCCCTAGTGGCCTTTTGGCACTTGTCCAACAGCTCTTTGGACAACTGAAGGTTAGCATTACAATTGATTTTAGTTACAAGCAAGTTAGAAAAAGTATCAACTTTCATGCTTGCCCTTGTTTCATTGTAATTTTTCTTCACAATCTTCTAGTTTGGAAACATTTCTTTGACTCTGGCATTAAAACGATCAGAGTTGGCTAGAGAAATATTTCCTTAAATAAAAAGGTGGTAAATAAACCTGTTCTATCTGATAACTGAATCGCCCGATTCCTTAGCAAAGAAACTTTTAATTAGACATAGATTACTTTTACTTTTAGCTGCAGTTGTATGTTGTTTTTTTGGGTTAAAATATGTTTATTAATACCATTACATCGACCGCTTTCAAAAGATTTAACCATTTAATTAAGAAAAGCTTTAACAAAAAAAAAAGTCTGAATTATTTTTAAGCCTAGTATAAGGATAAATCATGATCAGATCAATTATTGATTGAAGAATAATATAGAGATCGCGGTTTGCTTCGATAAAAACAAGGCAGTGTCTATATGTCAGGTGACCGGACTTATAGTGCGGGAGATATTTATCTGGCGAGCATTTCAAGCTTTATAAAAAAACATTGTCACTTTTTAACCAATTGTCCATTATATATACCAGCAATGGTTCTGGTATTTTTTTTTTGTGTAGAATTGAACATATTTCTTTTTCATGTCAATGTCCAGACTATCTTGAATTTGTTGAAATGAAGTACCGTAAATTCTGATTGACAATTAGCGGTCACATGACAAGGCTGACGGACAAATATCTTGTGCAACTTTGTTACGCTGGTCATGTGAATTAGGTAAATATATAGTGGCCGGGCGAATATCTGGAGAACTTAATCACTTATTCATTCAGTCGCCGGACTTGTAGTCACTTTGTAAAAACAAATGCAACATTTCCTGTCGTACCCGATATTTAAAAAAACACATTTTGGGGTTGCTTTCGGATATTTATGACGAGTAAAAAATTATTAAGTTTGAAAATTCAGAATTTTAAGGGGTTTGTCGGAAGGTCGGCATGAGGGGTAAAAAATCTGTATAATTCCGACAAAATCGAAAGGGTTGGCAGGTCTGAGAATAATCAGTTGATCATCTTTAGTATCACTTAAATCCTCTCCTTTCAAAAATATTTATATTAGTACATTAGTTCTTGCACTGAAGGCCCAGCCATAGCTTCAACCATTTTAGCTTTAAAAAAAAAACAGCGATATAAAACTCTGATTATAAAGTACTCAATGTTAAGTTATCAAGAAACAGCTTGACCCGGAAGATGATTTAATTATTAATAAAAGGAAGTGGGTATGATTACGGTTAAATGTTGGATTGGAAGTTGCTATCGTACCGTGTTTTTAATCAGCCCATTTTTTCGGCTGCCACAGCACAGAACGAGAATATCGGCCAATTTCTTTGGCCGACTCAGTTCGAGGGTTTCAAATATGATAAGAAATTTTAATACTTTTTAAAGCAAAAATTTTAATACAAAGACAAATAAGGCTCCTTTGAAAGCACTGAGTTATATAACAATAATGTTAAAGACTGCATTGTCTTTAAATGTGTTTCATGCAAAAGCTATTAGAGAAATTACTTGAACTTCTGTGATTCCTGGAGACACTCCCTGCACTGTGTTTCCAACAATCTTGGCAATATTGGGATTGGCCACCTTAAGCCTGTCCATAACTAGCTTGGTCACCCTTACAAATGTTTTTTTATTCCGATAATAAATGGTGGACTCCCCTGGGGTGCTGATGGTAAAACGTGCAAACACGTCCACTAGTGATTGCTGATATTTGTTTCTGCAAGTCTGTGATGCTTGCTGCTCCTTGTTGCCACCTATGATGACATTGGAATGAGTCAACAGGCCAAGATCCACACTCCTCTTTGACCTGTCATATAATAGCAGAACGAATATGAACTCAATTGTTTCATACTATTTTTTTAGCTAAGGAATTTTACACTTGTTCCTGCCATCCTCACACATCTTTATTTAAAAAATTGCTGATAGATTTTAAGAAACCCTTGTTAGCCCTTTTTAAAAAATGAAAATAGGTGTTTGAAGAAAAAGTGAACAACAGGAGTGAACCACAAAAATGACATATCAATGCTACATATGAAGAGTCGATTTTCATAATGCGGTATCCGCCATTTTTGAAAAAAATGAGATAACTGTACAGTCTTGTAGAGCAAACCAGGTTCCTTTAGGACACGTTAAAGTTTATCTACAAAACACATTTTAATCCCATATTATTCTATGTCTAAAAATGATTTTATTATCAAAACGTGATGTGAATTTTTTGTTTAATTATCAAAATGCTGTATATATTTTCGGACCAATCCGTGAGATTGACAAGCCGATTCTGTGGCATTCTGCGCATGCGCACTAAACATCACGAAGCGAAACAACAACAAAAATGGTGGTTAACGACGGCCTGGATGAAAGTGTTTTTTGTACTATAAAATCTTGAAAATAAGAAGAAGAAAAAAAAGCCCAACACGAAGAAAAGAAAAATCATTTCGTCATACAAGCGGAGGAAAGATACCCTCCGTTACGTGTAATCATGATAAAGGGTTCTGCAAGGTGAGTTACCGGTAACTTTATTAAATAACCACTAAAGTTCATTTTACATTAGCATGATAAATCTGATTGTTACTACACATCAGAAGTGTTTAAAAAATGTTCTATTTTATTGTTCTAAATTCAAATAAAATGATTTGTGAATTGAACATAATCTTGTTTACTTTTGTTTAGAATTCAGATTTATAAAAACAAATCATGCAGACACTCTAAAAATTACATTATTACAGGGGACTTTCCAGCATTTATAATACTGTTCTGTTAAAATATATCAATAAAAAACAATCATACACAATTATATAATGTGTATGATACAATTTTATTTTATTATGTAAGTGGTTTGTAATCTACAAACAAACTAAATTATTTTCTACTGGGAATAATGTTAAGCTATCAAAATGGATATACAGCGTTTTGTCGCTAATTTATAGTTGGATACACAGCATTTTGAAACAAAATAAGAAATTGAACCTGGTAAATAAATAAATTTTAATTAAACTACATTTCAATTTTCATCATGGTAATCTACCACTTGAGAGTCGGCCAAAAAAAAAACCCAGCTGTTCCATTTGGAAGGGCTATTTAAACAACTATTCTTACATTGGAGTCTGTTAATATTTTTGCTTCCGTATAGGCTATAAAGTTATAGAGCACAATACTAATACATTTAAATAATTATTACTGCCAGCTACCGATATGCCAGGAAGAAAAAGAGACTACAAAAGTGCCGATGTCCGAAATGTTTGATACAGATCAGATACGAAATGAAGAAGAATGGTGGCTGTCCACACTACTGCTGAATTTGTCAGACCCCTTATTCAGCATCTAAGATGGTGCATTAACAAAATTATTTTTTTTTATCCAGATAACGCGGATGTCCACACACAGAATGTGGAAAACGTGGATGCTCAAAAAGCGTAAACTGAAAAAAAGTTTGGCACAAACTGTGATCTTTCCCCTTCATATTTACGTGAATTCATGTACCACAACCGATTTCGTGGAGCTTATATTTTTTAAAACTTCATTGTCGCCTTGGGGGAGGACTAAGCATAATTCCATTTTCAAACATTAAATTGTTTAAATTCTTCTATTTCAATTTTTTAAAATAGTTTTTCTATTTTAAAAAAATGTTCTTGTGTATTTGTATTAGTACTATTATTATGGGAATGAATACATACAACCAAAGTCATTAAAAATAGTATAAAAATAATTGTTTAAATAGCCCTTCCAACCGGAACAGCTGGATTTTTTCTTGGATGACGCTCAAGTGGTAGATTACCTTCATCATAATCTAACTTATATTTTGAATATATCCCTAAATTAACGCTTACTTTTCTGAAAATTTGAGCCATCATTGTGTAGCAAGTCTAAAAAAGTTGAATATCTCAAAACGCCAAAAATGGAGATACAGCATTTTGAAAATCAACTCTTCATATGTAATTTTAACATAAAACAGTAAATGAACTATAAAAAAATTAAATGTATCATACACTGGTTGCGAACCATGTGCTTTCCATCCTCTAATTTGGCTGAGTTTTGAATCAGAAAGTTGAATATCTAGTCGAGGCTCTGGGACCCACACACGCACACCAAGTTGTGCTACATGATCAGCTGTCCGGACCAAAATTGTCACATTTTTGTCTCCTCGAGTCTCACTACCATCCAGAAATATAAGGTCACAAGAGTTGGACACCTGAATCAATTGCAGTATGTTTCATCAGTTTGGTCACACAATTCATGACAGCAAATTGATAAGATTTGACAATGGTTTTACTCTTTAATTCACTGAATCATACGCTAAGTAAACTTGTAACAATTAACATAATGCCCAATAAAGTCAAATGATAGCTTAGAATCTCCACATCATGCTCTAAAACCCAATTATTGATAGGGGCTTTGAATAAGTTTAAGAGAATGGGAATAAGACTTTGTTGGCCGCAATGCTGTTATTTGATATATTATTTAATTAAGTCACTGTTAGTTGTAAGTAGATCTGTTTTGATTACCTTGCGGGCACTGTCAAATGTCATTAAAAATAACAAAGATTGATTCTCATTGGTGTTTTTCATGAGTTTGGTCTACAACAATCTAAACTAAATGCTCCTAATTACCTGAAGAGCTTCAGGGTCTGTTGATCTACAGTTAGAATCCTTGGTGACATCTTTCAATGTGTTGTTGTGAGACACTGAATAGACCAGCATGTCATATGTCACAGGGACACCAGTGAGGATGGCAGTATTTAGCAAACTTCTTTCCTAATTATGGAAATAAAAACAATTTAATTTGCAATATCTTGTCATGGACAGTTTTAAAAAAAAGAAAATTCAAATAGATATAGATTTTAAATAAATGATTTTTTAGACCATACAAACTATTTTGGCAGAAATATTACTTTCAAAACAATCACAACATTGTCTGTTTTGCCACTGACAACATTAAATTTGGCAGTGATTCGACTGCCTTCTGGATTAAAAAAGGCATTCCTGGAGAGGCCATTTTTCTCATAGTCAACATTCCAAACAATCCTGACACTGGATGGAAAACTGGCACTGGATAAAACACGGAACTGCCATCTCATAACTTCATCCATTCTGAAAAAAAACAACAAGAAGACATAAATAAAATTGTACTATTTATAAGATTGCATTTAACTATTATCCCTTTCAAATACAAACATTTTCTCATAAAACAAAAAAAGTATCAATGTGATTGTCATGAACCCACTAAAGTATTTTTTCTTCTGGTTTTAAAATGTAAAAAAAGGAACATTGTAAATGTATATGCAATCCTACAAAATCCCCTGGAAGAGAATTAAAATATTTTGGTGATCATTATAAACCACAACAACTATACTTGTAGCTTTTAGTGAATTTGATGTCTGGCTTTTGAAACACTGTGACAGTTGCTGTTCCATCTTTGTCGTTAGAGTCAAACACCACATTCCATGAACTGTCCTTGGCTGGCACAGCCCCTTCAATAAGCACATGACCTCTGATCTTTATCCTGAAATAAAAAGATTTGCTGGTCATGAATAATTCTTACTCAAATACTTGAGGTATCACTGAAATGCCTTTAAAAAATTTTGCATGTTGGACTTACAGAAAATATTACTTTTGAGAGACTTTAAACTAGAGGCCGACCGATGTTTGGCTTCGGTTTCAGCGCCGAAAGTGGCCATTTGATCACTTTCGGCCTAATTTCGTTTTCGGCCGAAACTGAAATGTTAACTTTTGGTTTAATTTCGGACTTAAGTGATTGGGACTTTCGGCCAGATGGACTGGGGTTTTCGGTTATCTACCAGAGGTGAGACTGTCTGTCTGTCTCTAGGCTGGCAATCCGACGTCTTGCTGTCATCTTTTGTTATAAGACTAATACTCTGCGAAAACTGCTCACAGCTGCATCTACTTGTCCTTTATTTCCAAAAAATTAAATTTTGATTAGGCCTAGGCAAGAGTAAACAGTTTGGTGGAAGAAAAACTAGTGGAATGGTAAAAACTTCATATCATTATTTTTGTTTTAATTTTTTCAAAAATAAAAATTGGAACCCTAGGTTTATTCAATTCCTTCACTTGTGATATACATTCCGATTTATCATTATCATGCTCATCAATTTTGTAATAGGCAAAGGTGAATAATGTTGCATAATCCTAGTGAATGGTAATATTTCTCCAATTAATTTTTTTTTTTTTTTTTAAATTAAGGACACCTAGGCTTTTTCAATTCATATATTTCTTGAAATTCATAATTTATCATGCTCATAAACATTGTTATTGACGAAATAACAAGTGTGTGCATGTATCACTGGCTTGTATTATAATTATGTCGTAGGCCTACTGCAGACCTGTTTACTTTTATGATTTAGGCAATCAATTTAGATGTCATGCGATTCACCGTTGAGATCCGTCAGAAGAACTAGACTATTTTAAGAGACAGGGTTAAAAAAAAAATAATAATCCCCACCACCCCTCAGCACACAGGCGTAGACAGACGTAGCAGACAGACTAGACAAAGCATACATAGCGCACAGCGTAGACAAACACAGCACGCAGTGTAGACACACAGCCCAAAACAGCGTAGACATCTCATCACCAGCACGGTAAGACTCATGTGTTGTGTACTAGGCTAAATATTAATACAGGGATATCTTGCCAGCTATAAAGCATTAGTATGACCAAAACTGTGAAACATTGTCGTGATATTTCTATAGCCTTAATAACTGATATTTAGGTGACAATTGGCTTTAATAGAGCCACAATAATTATTATAGGTATATGTTCTAGAATGTAATTATATTATAAAAGAAAGGCACTTAATGGTCTATTTTGCATTGGATCCCCCCCCACTAGTTAAAAAACTTTCGGTTTAATTTCGGTTTCTGTCGGAAGTCATTTTTAAATTTTGGCTTAGTTTCGGTTTCTGCCAAAATCAGAAAATCACTTTCGGTTGGTCTCTTTAAACAAATGATTATATTTCATAAATATCTACGGTATAATTGGTATAAAGAGAGTAACAACGATTAGTTTACTGGTACACATGTTATTGATCACAACTCACTGTATCACAAATTCTTTTAGAGCTGAATTTTTATCCAAATACACTGGGACTTCAAACCTAGCATTAGGCTGAAGCTCTGTCTGTGGAATCCTGAAAATAAGATCCTTGTCCTTGTGGTCATCATATTTAAACTCTTCAAGCTGGAGATGGATGATGGAGATTAACTTTTTTTCCAGAGTGTCTGCCTGAGCTTCAGCACGGGCGGGGACTATTGTGTTTGAGACACTTGCACATTCCTGGCTCAGTTCTACTCTGGACAAATCATAAAACACTTTGATGTCCTGGCCAGCAAAACTGGAGTTGGAAGTGTCCCACCAGTGCTCTGGAATAACCATGCTGGCAACACATGCATTGGTGTCCCCCTCCAGTAAACAAACAGATGTGTGCTGTTCAGCTCCCCTGGACAAGAAGATCTGTGCACACCACCTCTGACTGACACCATAGTAAGAGTAAATAATTTCCTGCTTCAGCCTTCTTGCCAGGGTCTGTGCGTGTACCAGCACCTGCACGACAGGATTCGAAAGTTTAATTGTCTGTGAAACCAGGTGTGCACTCACATCCATGTTGTGCATAACATGCCTGTGCATATCAGATTCAAACTTGTCAAACAAGTCTCCATTCTTTAGTATGCTTCCGAGAATTTCATTGGGTACAACCTGTATAATAAACATTTTTTTAAAAATGATTGAAATCTAATGAAATTAATAATATTCAAGACAAGATTTAAAATATTAAAAATTACATTTAAAAAAAAAGCTGTATAATAATTCTGGTCTTGCAGAAAAATGTTTAAGTTTCAGTTTGATTTTAAGCACTGCCTAATTACTATACAGAGTGTAAAGGGTGATAAACATACTTGATACATTTCAAAGGGGCCATAACTGGCTCTAAGCTTGTACACTTCAGCAGGATGAGTTAGAATGAGGGATTCCTTTACAATGTTGGGTTCAGCAGGTTTAAACTTGTGATGATAGGGAGACTTCAAAAAGAACCCGTCATTGCTGTCATCAAAGTCAATGTTGATACATTGAGAGCAATCTAAGACATTCAAAATGTTACAGGTCAATATAATTTTTGCAATACAAGGCTTACATGCAAATGTGTCTATAATATTCATTGATACAAATATTATTTTTTTTTAAACGGAATTAATTGTAAGGAAATTATGAACGGAAAAAAAAAATTAATTTAAAAAAATTAATTGAAATATTTACCTTTAAAACTTTAGAAGAAAGGATAAAATATTTTTAATCTTCTAGCGGACCAAACAATAATAATACCTTACTGTTTGCCATAACAACTTTCAGAATTCCTCGTTAACACTGAAACTGAAATCCTAAAACCTTTGTAAAAAGTTGTTAAGGTTAGGTTAAGGATGAATACACTTTTAATAACTCTTTCAATCAGTGGCGTAGCTAGGGTCGGTGTCTACCCCCCCCCCCAACTTCAAAGCTGGATTTGTTATAGTTGAAATAAGTCCACAGTATAACAATGACAAGGACGAAAAGAAAATTAATTAAAGGTAAGGAGATAAATCAACTTCAAAGCTGGATTTGTTATAGTTGAAATAAGTCCACAGTATAACAATGACAAGGACGAAAAGCAAATTAATTAAAGGTCAGGAGATAAATGTATTTAAGAATTGTATTAAAAAATTTATAGGAGCCAGAATGATCAATAGATTGATCAAAGGCCCTCAAAATGTAGAAGAAGAAGTCAAAACATTAAGTTATTTTTACATTAAGTTTATTTTGGAATTTGATATCAGCTGCCTTTAGTGTCTTCTAAGCCTAGTATTTCGTTTAGAAGTTCATATTCTGATAACTCATCATAGAAAGAGGTTAATTTTGGAACGGACACCAAAAACAACCGTTGCATATATGCCAGTATTTGGTTGCAGCAACATAGTCTATCACAATCAGAACTCTACTTCACTTGTTGATAGTAGACTCTTTGAGTTGAACAGCCCCAAACATATCACTGATCTGAGTTCAGAATGAAAGCGAGCAATGCCCACACGCATTCTCTTCTCTTTCCATCTCGCATAGAGAGTCCAGCATCTATTAATTTTTCTCCTTTCATTCTCTTCTTTAACCTTTGTGTTCTCTCTACCGAAATGTCATATAGGTCTGATTTTAAAAGTACTGGTACACTTTTCATGTTCCACAAACTGAAAGCGCTTCTCGTGCAGAAAAAATCTTAAGGCCTCTAGGTTGGTCATCATTTTGTCCAGATTAAAGCCTTCAGTCTGCAGATACTTCTGTGTGAGATTAACTTCTTCAAGTAGATCATCCCATAGGTAAAGGTAGCAGATAAACGTAAAATCACAGACAGTGTGTAAAAGACAACAGTGGTCTAATGTTAAGAAGTGGTGCTAGTGACAAATCAGCGAAAACATTTATTTTTGAGTATTTCTGTGTTTCAATAGATTTGCTTTCAAAAACATCTTTTAAAAATTTAAACAAATTTAAATAAATTATTAAAAGTTATTAGAAAATTTTGTAAAATATTATTTAGTTGACCCTAAAAATGGGTAAAAATTCATTTTTAATGTTATTAATTTTTACAAATTCTCTTCATTAGCTTAGAATCGTTCGACCATAGCATATTTGGTTTCAGTGGAAAGCTTTATTTCTCAGAATTTAGATAAATATTGCTTCCTGTCCTTTATGAAAGTTACCGAACAATTCAATCGGCGTTGAATAATTGTTAAAAGGGTGTTTCTGACGCATCATTGGGATTAGTTACACGTGTGGAAAATTTACGAGTCATTAGTTATCCTTTTATGAAATTCCGTTAGACCGAGCGGTGTGTGCTCTGTAAATATGCAATTTTTCAATTTGGTGTCACCTCATGGGATGGAGTCACCCATTGTGGTCCGCACCCCCGCACCACCCTAGCTACGTCACTGATTAACCTTATAAATCGGTAAAGTCATTTTTAAACGTCGTTTTTCTGACCTAATTATAGGGTCGCCTCATTTCTGACGCATCAACATATAACTTTTAATAAAGCACACATTAAGATTGGTTACTGTGTGGAAAATTTCTGTGTGATCGGTTATCCTTTTATGAAAATCAGTTGGACCGAGCAGTTTGTGCTCTGTAAATATGCAATTTTTCAATTGGGTGTCACCCAGTGAGAGGGTGACACCCGGTGCGGTCCGCACCCCCTAGCTACGCCACTGCTTTCAATAACCATCGTAACAGTGAGTTATTAACTAGCATAAATTTTTAGTGCATTTATATATTTTTTAAATTACAATATTATGTTTTTATTATTCCCGTACAGCTATTTTGTAAATTAACATTTATTTACAAAGTTATTGATTACTGATATATCATTAAATGGAAATAATTTAAACATTTGTTACGCACTGACTTGTATTGGGAGAGAGTAATCTCCTATTTTAATTTTAATTGGCTCGTTGCAAACAGTGCCTAACAAAGGACGATACCATTGAATCAACAATATTAAAGATATGACCCAAAACAGTTTCTAGTTACAATTAATAAGATTTATTATGTCTTAAGATAATTACAAAAGAAAAGAAAATATAATTACAATCTTCAACTTACAGTATGGTAGATCTTGTACCGGTACACAGTTAACACAGTTAGAATAATGTGCCAATAAATAATGCGAAATAAACACATATGAGCACACAAATACACAAAGAATAAAACACGCCTCGTAAAGTTAATAAAATCTATCTGAATCTCTGTCCCTTCGTATCTGTAAATCCTTTATATACATGTAGCGTAAGACGCTTCCAGAAGGACCTATGACGTGTTGTTTACATATCTTGGAGTACATTCGAGAAGATACCAGGAGACATTCTACCCAATGCGTAATTGGAAGCCGATTGTAAACAAGATACATCAAAGAGATTAAACCACGCCCACAACAGACATTACTGTCTGCTAGGAGTGTACTACGAGGTCGAGGAAAATTCACGCACAGGAAATTGTGCTACATAACACATTGAAAACTGGCTTACTCAGCTAAACAATTTATCATTTGAGAATTTATAATTATTCTAAAACATTGTTTTAAAAACAAGTTCTTTTGAGGCTAATCTGTTTTTAAACATTACCTATTTATCATGGTCCTACATATATTACAGTGCATACCTATTTCTCTTATTCATGAATCTTTGTTTTGTAATAAACTATGACTACAGTATACGTGAACAGTGAATAGAAATTTTTCTACCTCTGAAACAATGACATTGCCTTATGATTAGTTCACTTAGTCTTAGTATTTACTTAATTTTTTACCTTATACTTATAATGAGCTTCTGGTTAGCAAAAAGATAGCTTACACGCAAATGTACGAAATTGTTAAAAAAAACAGGAAAGTGATATAAATATACCAAATCAATGCGGGAAGCTAGGGAAAGAATACGGGAGTAAAACCAAACTGTAAAATCTGGAGATATAGTCCCAAAGTCCACTGGCTGCGTGGAGAGCAGGGATCTGCTGCACTGGGCAACAGCTGGACTCCATAAAACATCGCCCAGGCTAAGTAGCTGCACTGGTGACATCACTTCACAAGGAGCAGAGTTTTTTTGTAAGGCAAAGAAAGAAAATAAAAGGAAGACTCAACCACTTCGTTTCGCAAAATGGAATGTAAGAACCATGTGTCCTGGATTTTAAACCGACCTTCAACAGATTGACATCGCAAGGAAGACTGCCGTAATTGACAAGGAACTCGCCAGGCTAAACATTGACATTGCCTGCCTTCAAGAGAGCCGACTAGCTGTACCAAAAATTGAACATGTACACAGTATGAGTTCAACTAAACACTTCTGCCAATAAAAACATTATACATAGTGTATAATAATCGCAATCTAACTGCTAAAACAAAACTAAGGGTCTAACAGGCATGTGTGCTTAGTACGCTCCTATAGGGCAGTGACGTGTGGACCATATATACCAATCATGAGCGAACACTCAACAGCTTGCATCAAAGATATCTGGTCACATTTTATGCATTCGATGACAGGACAAGATACCTAACACAGAGGTCTTGGAACGCGCAAAAATGTTTAGCACATTCTCCACTCTTAGCAAGAGGCGCTTTCGCTGGTTAGGCAATGTAAGGAGAATGGAGGAAGGCCATATCCCAAAGATGCTGCTATATGGAGAGTTGGCAGAAGGGACAGACTTATTGGATGGCCAGGCCTGAGATTTATGGATGTTTGCAAAAGGAGCATAAAGGAAGCCAACATTGAAAACAACGAATGGAGATCATTGCCAAAAAACGTTCCAGCTGGCAAACAGCAGAGTATGAAGGAGTCAAAAAGGCGAAACAAAGCCCTTACAACAAAAATAACAATATGGAAGGCCAAATCTAACCATGAATCAATATTCTCCTGCGAGAAATGCAGTTGAGATTGCCATTCCAGGATTGGCCTAGTGAGCCACTCGTTGAAGTGTACATAGCTACTCCATTGTCTCGCAAAGACGGAATGATGCCATATACATATATACTTATAATATTATTATATTATATAGGCATAGGGCTAGCTTTAAGGTACTTTAACAAACAAAATAATAAATTTTAGTCACAAATACAATAATTAGACATTTTCTTGCTCCATTAAAAGTACTAGAGATACTTTTAACAGTTATGCTACACTTAAAATTTGGTTCTAGTAAATAAGACTTGGAAACTTTACGACACAAGGACAAGCGCAGACATAAAGAGAGTGACACCCAAGTATGTGTGAGTTGGAGATTATAATTTGTCAGTGTCATCAATGCCATAGTCAATTAATTAAATGACTTTTAGATACCGGGGGTATATAATATATAAATAGGCATAGGCTTGGCTAGGTAAGTTCAAGGGGGAGATTAATTTTAAGCACTATACAGGATAGGTCTGGGTACCTACTATAAAAATACAGGCACAATTGGCCTAGGGCCCTATAGAGTGACTTATTGAGTGCATATTTTAGAATAGTACTATAAACAATAACTATATTTTTGGTAAATTCAGACTATAAGCGCCATGTTTTTTCCCCCCATGGCCACCATCTTGGTTACCATGACCAGTGCAAGGTCAAATGGCAACCAAGATGGCGGCCGTGTTAAAAAAAAAAAAAGTACAAACCCAATTCTGCTAAAAAGGGGAGATGATAGGAAGAAATCTTGTTATTTCAACAACTAACCGAAAGAAAGGGAAATAAGAAATTTTAGGAGAAAATTTTTTATTTATGGGGGAAAAAAATCAAACGATTAGTATTTTTTTAAAAGTATGATTCATAAAAATGTAAAATAAAAGAAAATTTGAACATTTTTTGGACGAAGCGAAAAATTCAACAAATTACAAATAAAAGAGTTAAAAATTAGAAAAAAACAAACATACAAATTTAATGGAATCAAATCAGCCGATAGATAATTGTGGTGAATATATTTGGACCAATTTACCCCTAAACCTAACCCTAACCCTTACCAAAACCCTAAATCTATCCCTAAACCAAACCCTAAATATATCCCTAAATATATGCCCAGACCCGTTTACTCTTACGATTTTGGCGTACAATGTACGATTTTGAGGTGTATACATGTTTATTGTTTTACTATTAAGATAGTGTATTGAACGATTTTGTGATGATATTGTACGATTTTAAGAGTTTGAGGGTAAACAGGTCTGTATGCCTAAACCTAACCCTCAACTAAAAGACGTGTGCGGCTGGTTACACACTGTGGTAATACAATATAAAACCCATTTTCCAAATTCTATGGGAACCGGAGCAGCACACTATAAAATGACATAATGTTATTTTCATCACTCCTTTTCTATAACCTCATAATGTTAAAGCCTGTACCCCATACAAAAAAATAATGTCTCTATTTTTCATTAACATTGCCATGATTTTTTTTATTTTCAAATGCTTAAAATGACACTTTTATAGAAGCAAAATGACAATTTATTATTATAAAATTTAACTTTTATCTTACTTTAATATCCATTAATTATGCACATGAACTTTTGTTGCAACACATGAATTTTTAAATATGCCTTCGACGCCACTTCTTCCATTGCCAATGAATAAATGTACATTTTGCAACAAATAAATTAAAACTTTTATGTTTATAAAAAAAAATAATGAATTTTTAAATTGCCATTTAGATCTATATGAAAAAAAAACAACAACAAAAACAACAATATTTTAATACATTCCTTCAGCATATTAAAACTAATAGATAGAAAATAATTCTCCAAAATAAACAAAGGGGAGTGAATCCAACAAAATCTTAAATAAAAACGTAAATGACATCATGGCGCGAATAGTCTGAATTGGCCATATTTTTATGGCTGCGGCTATTCGGATCTGGGATTCAGAAGTGAGAGGATGGGTTTATTAAAAAATATTATTTAGACATTTAGTCTATAGATAGCAGCTATTCGGACTATTCACTTTAGACTAAATACTATTCAGATGTCATTTGTGGTAGTTTATTTTAGTTAAATTGAAGAAGTAAGTTTACAAACATATAGTCCATTCAATTATCTTTCATTTGATATCAAAATTTGTCTTACAAACCCAACAATAATATTTTTAAATATATTTTAATCCCAACCTCTCACCTCTGATACCCGGATCGGAATTGCCACTTCCATTTTTAAAACACTAACGGTAATCCCTTATTTAAACGCAAATTATTATTTCTTGAAAATACATTTAAAAATTCATTTTTACCTCAAGGAATTTCATTAAAAGTATTTTTAAAAGTAAAATACCATCTTTTTGTTGGAATACAACAACAATTTAACAAATTCTACGAGATCAAATAAAGTACATTTTCATGAATCTTTTGTCTTACACGGTGCCATTGTGGTAAATCAAGTAGAACTCTTCTTTCTTCAAAGATACGTTATAAAAGTTGCCCTATTGGATTTATCTAGATTAAAATAAAAAGTTGTATTTATTTTATTACTTTATTTATAATGTCTAGGCGTCCGATATTTCTTTCTAAACCAGTGGTGGGTTTAGACAAGTTTAAATATTTAAGTATATCATGCTCTAGACATCTTGGATATCTGTAGGGCCATCCATGCAGGGCCATGTAAAGGGCCCAATGATACAGGCGTCAATATCATTGGGCGTCAACATCAATGGGTGCATTTTCTATACACTAGGGGCTGTAGTTGCAGTCTTCGCCCAGGGCGTCACTTTTCTTATGCCTTGTCCTGCATCCATTATTACAGACTTCACGCGCCTCGATTTTAGTGTGTGTGGTGGGGTTATGTGGGAAAATGTTAAATTTTAAAATAAAATGGTCCTCTTTTTTTATTTGTGACGATTTTGTAGTAAATTCATAGATATTGATTTATAAAGGGTGAAAAGTGGGGAAATAAATAAATGGCAATAGCGAAGTGAACACCAGAACAGATTACTAATAAAGCAAAACCATCATTTGACCGGGCGCTGTTTCCCCGAATTCATTCTTTAATACTTTACGTAATGGATAAGAGCAAGGCATAGCGGCAGCAATGTGGTCTCCACGCCACGGCCTTGCCATGTTTCTGTTTAGGAAGACGTGGACTTCAGCTTGTATCGGTTTATGGTTTTGGCAGATATCTGATCGTTAACGCTGAATAACCTTGATGGTGTGTATCCGGAAAAAGGAACCACGACAACTCACCATAAGACATTCGAACACAGGACAAGTGAACCAACGGACAAGTTATTACGCAGAAAGTGAATACCTGTATAGACAACTGAACTCACCAACAACTAAGGAGCCCACCGAAAAATAATAATTTTTTTTTTTTGCATTTTAGACCCACCCTATGAGACAGACCCACCCTATGAGATGGAAACCGGTTCGGCATGCTTAGGAGTCGACTCCGTTGACTATGGGCAGCACTGGAGTGCCCCCAATGGCAGGCTGACACAAATTCGAACGAGTTGGGACTTTACCGAATTTTCGGGCGGTCACTAACGGGACTTTGCTTATCGTCAGAGAGGACTGTGCAGCTATGATTCGCAACTTCATTATTGAGGACAAACTGATCTCTCATCATTTCCCAGTAAACTTTAACTTTGACTTGAGGAAGCCAGGGAGCTTTGTCACATCCCATCATCTCCTAAAGAAAGATCTAGCAGCCTTCATACATGATGTCGCCGCCCTCAGGTGCAGTGAAGAAGACCCTGCGACAGACAACAACAGTTTAGTCCTCTTAGAAAAACATGCAACTCTTCTGCCCCATGGCTCACGCCTGAAATAAAGGTTGCAAAGCAGAAGCAGCGACGTGCAGAACGCCAATGACTGTGCACCGACGAATCTTTGTTGATCACAAGGAATGCACTTAAAAGTTGGTCCTTGCAGCTAGGACTGAACATGTCAGTCACCAGATTGTAGATTGCAGCTCAAGTAGGGACTTATTTCATATTGTGGGTCAGCTGACCGGTAAACAGAAGGACACATTGTTGCCCTATAACATTGCTGTAGGCCAGCTACCAGATGCTCTAAATGAGTTCTTTTTGAAAGTTCTTTATTTTGAAAGTATGAAGATCAGGGCGGCACTTGACATTTGCACCGATGCTCCCGAATAACGGCTCTCCTATGAATGAATTTGTGGAGGTCACTGAATCGGATGTGAAAAAAATACTGATTGACACCCCAAGAAAGTGATGTTTGCTCGACCCTCTTCCGGCTGGGCTGTTGGATGAAATAGTCACTATAATAGCTAGTATCATAAATCAGTCTTTGAAAACTGGTATTGTTCTATCCTTTTTAAAAGTGGCGGTTGTAACTCCACTGCTAAAAAAAGAAAATAGTGACCCAAATGTGTTGGAAAATTATATGTATATGGCATCATTCCGTCTTTTTGAGACAATGGAGTAGCTATGTACACTTCAACGAGTGGCTCACTAGGCCAATCCTGGAATGGCAATCTCGACTGCATTTCTCCCAGGAGAATATTGATTCATGGTTAGATTTGGCCTTCTTTATTGTTATTTTTGTTGTAAGGGCTTTGTTTCGCCTTTTTGACTCCTTCATACTCTGCTGTTTGCCAGCTGGAACGTTTTTTGGCAATGATCTCCATTCGTTGTTTTCAATGTTGGCTTCCTTTATGCTCCTTTTGCAAACATCCATAAATCTCAGGCCTGGCCATCCAATAAGTCTGTCCCTTCTGCCAACTCTCCATATAGCAGCATCTTTGGGATATGGCCTTCCTCCATTCTCCTTACATTGCCTAACCAGCGAAAGCGCCTCTTGCTAAGAGTGGAGAATGTGCTAAACATTTTTGCGCGTTCCAAGACATCTGTGTTAGGCATCTTGTCACTCTCCTGAGACAGCCCTGTTGCAAGCTCATCTGTCGTCATTTGATGAGGGCCAGGTATCCCTTTTGCTGTTACTTGATTTATTGGCAGTGTTCAATACGCTTGACCAAGGCATACTTCTCCAAAATCTGCAAAATAATGCTTGATTTCACAGATGCTGTCCTGAGATGAATCAGCTCGTATCGGGTCCAATCAGTTATCGCAAACGGCTTGACCTCGAAGCAATCTATTATCGAGTTTGGAGTACCCCAGGGCTCGGTCCTAGGCCTGGTGCTTTTCACTATGTACGTTCAGCCCCTGGGTGCAGTGATCAAGCAGTGTGACATGCTATATCATATGTTCGTGGATGATACCCAACTTCACCAGTCCGTGATCCCCTCTCAGTTCCCTCAGCTTCTTAGTATGACACAGAAGACAGTGGAGTCAGTTAAGCACTGGATGACCATAAACAAGCTCAAATTGAATAATGAAAAGACCGAGCTAATCCCCATTGCTACCGCTCAGATGCAAAAATCTGTAAATAACACACTATCCCTTACTCTCTCAGGTGTGCAGATTGAGTTTGCTCAAACAGTGCGAAACCTGGGTGTCTACTTAGATAGAACACTAACTAAGGAAAATCACATTAACATGCTTTGCAAGGCGATTTTTCTAGAGCTGCGCAGAATTAGTCATACCTGACCTTTCTTAACGTTTTAGGAATCAAAGAGGCTGATGTCCGCATTCGTGTTATCGCGCATGGACTACTGCAATGCTCTCATGGTGGGTCTTCCGGCTACGGTCCTAGATAAACTTCAAAAAGCACAGAATAATGCGGGTCTGATTGTTCTGCTCAAACGTAAATTTCACCATGCTAAAACACTTCTAAGAGATCTGCATTGGCTGCCGGCCCGCGCTCGCATGGAGTAAAAAATTGCAACTCTGTGCTACCGCTACTTGTATGACCTGGCGTCATCCTATCTCAAAGCGCTCATGACGCCTTAAGTACCCACAAAATCACTCTGTTCATCCAATAGTGGCAAACTCTGGATACCGCGAGTACGCCTTGAGACCTACAGAAGGCACACTTTCGCTTGCCCAAGAATCTGGAATGCCCTTCCTGTTGCTCTCAGAAACAGCCAGACACTGCCGTCTTTCAAAAGTAAGTTGAAAACACATTTTTTTCGCACTCACCTGCTGGGGTGATGTAGTCTACCGCCTTGTTTCCAACTTGTTCATATAACTCAATGTAGATTTGTATTGTTGCATTTTTTATTTTATTTGTGGAAAACATATAAATTGTCATATATGGTTGACTTTGTACAGCTCTTTGAGCCTTAATTAGCGATGAAGCGTGTTTTTGAAATGAGCTTTACTATTATTATTATTATTCGGGGGTCAAGGTTGGTGCCCTATTTCTCATGCTGGAAAAAGTATTTAAACGTATGATGAGTTAAAAGATGTTCTCCAGTAACCGGTATGCACAGTGCCAACTGTGTGTGTACCCCCAAAACAGGACGACGTGATTTTGAAATTCGCCATGGCACTTGGCCCTGACCCTTTCATTACCGCTGGTTTTTGGGCATCGATTTTTGCTAACTCAGCAATAAAAAAACTTTGGTAGAAATTTTCGATTATTTTCAACCTCTATCGGATTTGCTTTTTAACTTTTCTATAGATTAACTAATAAAGAAATAGATAGTATTGAAACATGATGTCAACGTAACATCCTTGGTATTTCAGAAAAGTTCTTTGCTTCTTTGTTATGACGACAATGTGACGTCCTTGGTACCGGTAATTGAAAGTGGGTGATCGTGACGTCGCGTCGCAGTCATCGGAAGCGAAGTGGTTAAACAAATTTATCTGTAGGTTAAATTGGCTATTTGCTCACGTGCACCTGTGCTCTATACGTTCACTTATCAGTGGTGGGAAATGCTCTCTGCATTGGTCGGAAATAAATTTCTAATCCTACAAGGGATGTCATTTGGGCACCCCCCCCCCCCCCACCTTTTTTTTTTTTTTTACCCCCCCCCACCACATTGAAAAAACAAATGAAAAGGGGTTTCTAACCCCCCCCCCCCTTTCAAGAGACCATCCGTACATTCCCAACACGCCGAGTGGGAGGGAGGCAATGCAATCAGTCTCAGTATATTAAAACCAAAATATTGTTGATTAATATACAATGTTGGAAATCCATTCATTAGAAAAGAGAAGATGCACTGGATATATATTATATATTTTTATAAACTTTAATTAAGTTAAAAAAATCAAAACTTAACTTGTTTAGGTACTTTAGTGAAAAAAATTCAATAATTCAAAATAATAATTTTTGATATTACAGTTATTTAGAGCCAATTTCAAATAAAAAAATGAAACCAGAATCAACTTTTTAGCTTAAGTGCTTTTTTTAGCTACGAATTTTTAAAGTGTGAGTTCGTTTGGTATTTTTTACTATGGACGAAACCTCCACATCTTGTGACCTCATTCCGCTGATCGCGTAATGCGCAATGACTACATAGTTTATATAAGGCAATGCATCCCCTTATCATTAAAATACTGTTTAAGGTCGACTTATTTTAAACTTTCAACTTTGGCACATTAATAATTAATTAAAGCTTTCCCTGACCAATGGTTTAATAGTTTTTGCACACGGCAAACTCTTATGAATAAAACTCTGAGATAGTAATACGATATAGCCATTATGCAAGTGGCTTTGAATGGTTGCCTATGACAACGTGATGCACACGGAAAATTCCGATCATTTATAATATGGACTCTACAGGGTTTTTAAAGTTCAAATTAAAACATTACACCTTAAATGTCTTCAAAATGCATTCTGAAACACAAGTTATCAAATATTTTGATGTATATAGTGGTAATAATTAAATATTTCCTAAGTATCGGCAACTTCCGCCATTAAAAAGTGGGCGTGGCCCACGCCATGTCGAAATTAGGCTGAGCGACCTTGTGGTGATATGGGTCACGGGGACAAGGGTTACAAACGTCCGACACGACCTAAGTCAATGAGAATTGGCACAGATATAGATCAATATCTAATGCTTCTTCAGATTTAATTAAAAAAAGGATCTTAACTTATTATTTCACCAAAAATTTTGTATGCGAAGATACCTTATATATACCAAAGATTTTCAAAATAAAAGCCAATTGAAAAAACAAAATAGCTGGATGGAAATGTAGGCCAAGATGTCTTCCAAAGTGAAAAGGCGGAAGCAGAACACAATTGTATGTCAAAAGGACGAATTTATTAATGAATTGACACATTAAAAAGTCGGATTTTACTGCGGCGACGCCCATTTCCAATTTTGAAGTAGTCTCCCTTGCTTTATCGCAGTATCTACCTTGTTCTTAATACAAAAATGTATTTGAGTATGAGTAGTGGGTGGTGGTGGGGGAGGGGTGAGATTAAACCATAAGTTAATACATTTACTTATTGTATGTCACCACTGTAAGCAAACGCCTCTGAATCTTAATTAATTATCTATTACTTTTAATTTATTTTAACCGTATGTTTATTGTTTTTGATCTGAGACTGGCAAAAAATCTGCCCACACATCGGCTATAGACCAAAACAACCTCAGTGATTAACTGACTTTGTCAATACTTGTTTTATTTAAAATTTCACTTTAAAACCACCGAAAATACAGATAAACTCATTGGAAAACAATAAATACATGTTATAGTAGCCACTGAAGTGTTTTAGATAAAAGTGCAGTTCAGGTGTGTATATTATTTCTGGTCGAATTTCATATTTTCGCATGTAAAATTATGTGAATTTTTTATAAAAGTGTTTTTTAAAGTAAAATGCCATCTTTTTGTTGAAATACAATATTTTAACAAATTTTATGAGATTAAAAAAGTACACTATTATGGATCTTTTGTCTTATATGGAGCCAATGTGGTAAATCAAGGATAACTCTTCTGTCTTTAAAGATACGTTATAAAAGTTGCCCAATTTGGATGTATCTTGTATTTATTTTATAACTTTACTATCAAATATAACTAGAGTTAAAGGGAACACTCATACTTGACATACAGAGCCAGTTTACAAGCCACATTCCATTTCGTCCTTCTAAGGGGAGCGCCTTGCGAGAAATTCCATAGTTGTATTAACGTTATTTGTTGCCTCACAAAGTGCCCGTATAAATCTAATGCTGCATCATTTAAAATTTCCGTTGGATCAACAATTTGAATTATTGCTTCTTGGTCGTCCTGACATTTTGAACAAAGTGATCCCACCACCAGCAATACCGCAAAACGAGTCCATATTATTATATAAAATCAATAGCCCTCACCCTCATTTTACTCAGTGCAAATCCGTCAACATAAGCACATTTGCATACGGAAAAAGGGGAGCTCATATTAGAACTGACCAATCACGGACAACGTATTTGCAGGAATCAGTATGAGATGACTATCAATAAATGAACCCATGCTATCATCCGATTTCCCCCATTTCTGCAACATCACAAATATTTTTTTTTTAAAGTGGACATGTGACCACACATTGGCACAAATTCGTGGAACCGCCCCCCCCCCCAAACCCCTTTTCAGCTCAACTCCAGGACAAAGGTGACGTGTGTCCACTGCCTTAGTCCGGTAATCCTCTGCTTATCTACCCCCCCCCTCCCAGCCTTCANGGGGGGGGGGGGGGGGGGGCAATCATGTGTAATGAAAAATCCAGTATTTCATTTTTTTTTTGTGAACAGTTTGAAAATTTCTTTTAGCATATTAACTTATAGGTGATTTTCAAAATCTGGTCAGAAGGTGAACAAAAAATACAAAACATATGGGGCTGTGTAACTTTGGTTGGAGGATGTTTAAAGACGCTTTAGAAATCACATAAAAATAAAAAAGCGCTGTATAATTCAGTATTAGACTTTGGTTGGAGGATGTTTAAAGACGCTTTAGAAATCAAATAAAAATAAAAAAAAGCTCTGTGTAATTCAGTATTAGTTAACTATAACTGCCTTTATTTAATAAATAAAGAATACAAATAAGTTTACATGAAAAAATATCATTAATATGAAATGTCAAAAATGCCTTAAGAAATAATAGCCTATGGTGGGAACACTCATACTTGACATACAGACACCAGGCCTATACACACCTGAACTGCACTTTTACTGTGTTTTAATGAAGTTCCTTGAGGTAAAATTATTTTTGTATTTTATTTCTGTAGAAATAATAAATTGCCCTAAAATAAGGCATACGGAATACGGGATTACCACCAAGGCCAACACTAACCACATCAGTATCAGTCAATTAATTAATTAAAATTAACGGTCTGTACCCAGTTTTAAATTTTAATATTAATCAGCAAATGTTTAGTTAAATACAATTCATAGCCTCTGTAACTCTATACTTTGAAAGAACTGCTCTAACATTTATAATGAGTGACTGACTTTGAGTTTGAATGTGAGTAAGCTGACTTAATGAACTGTACTCGCTCTTGCCTTTAAAGTTTAAAGACTTAAATTTCACTTGTACTCACCAAATAAGATAAAAACATAACATAAGATGAGCGCAATTATCCGCTGTGCCATCCTTATCGTATTTGGGGTGGTTGTTCTAATCAGATGCAATCGATGCAGCGCCTATCAGAATGTACATGCATGTCTCTTTTCCAATACCACAACTGATAATGGGAGCTGATAATTGCTAACGATTAATTTTACTGACACTATGGTCCGCCATCTTTCAGCCTCATTACAAAGCACCAAAGTAAAATAAGACATTCGACTACGATTCTGCATATAGTTTCAAAAGTTGCATGAAATTGGAACAAAGTTATTGTAATTTTTTTAAAAAGGTTATAATAAAACAAATAAGCAACGCATTTTTAATCAAATATGTTAAATATTTTAATTTGATATATAAATTTAATGACTCCTTTTCAAGTCATTACTATCATGTATTCATTCCCTACTCCATTCACTTAGATCTTTGCAACCATCGGAACTACTTTTCTTATGACCTATTTCCGAGAGATGACTAGATGAACTATGATTAGGTTTGTTTTCCCGATGCGATAGCACAAGCAAAAGCTAAGGGAGGTCGCTGATAAAAATTGGCTAAAATAATTGCAGAAATGTATTCTTATGACAGACTATTATATATACATATACTTTAAAACATATGAACACAATATACCTCTACTTTCTTCTTCTTCTATATATCAAGGGCCCACGATCAATTTATTGATCATTTTGGCTCCTATGCACGTAAAGGGGATTTGCAATAATGTTTCTGTGCCTGGTGTTGACGAGGATATTTCACTGAGTGTCACTTTTTTAGGGAATCATGCACTGGGGGTTTGAAGGCTTGAGGCAATAGAAACAAATGTGTCTAGTGTTGTCGCCCCAACAGTTCCTTTTGAAAGCTTATTCCAGTCCCTGATTGTCTTGGGCAGGAATGAACAGTTCCTATACTGGCTTCTTGCTGGTATGAGCCGGAATTGCATGTCATGGCCTCGTCGCTGTCTATGGGGGAGAGGGGCGAGTTTCTGTTTAATACTGGAACAGTGGACCAGCCCATTATTTATCTTGTACATTATGGAGAGCCTGGATTGTCGTCGTCGTTCCTCCAACGGACTCCAACGGTGAACAGCCTAGTGTTTCCAGCATGCTGCCAACACTAGAGGTATTCCTGTAGCGGTTCAGGACAAAGCGTGCTGCCCGTCGCTGGACCGCCTCCAACCTGTCAATGCTCGTCTGGGTAAATGGGTCCCAGACTGAAGATGCATAATCTAAAACCGGATAGACAAAGGCTTTATATGCTCTTTCTTTCACACATGAGTTGCCAATCTTTAGATTTCGCCTTAAGAATCCCAGGGGGTTTGCTTGGTTACATACATTGTTAATATGGTCGTCCCAGCGGACCTCTCTTTGAATGGTAACACCCAGGTACTTTACGGAGGAAACTAGCTCAAGTATATGGCCATGCAGTTCATATTGGTAGTGTACAGTGCTGGATTATCTATTAGGCAAACAATGCACGTGCAAAGGACACCGAGCATTTGGGGGGCACCACAAGTCGTCAAGAAAAATGTTTATATAGCATCACACATTGCGAATTATGGAAATTCTGGAAAAGGAAATCCTTCTTATTTATCCAAAACTATATGTGAAGAACTGATTGAAATTATGTCCCAAAAAGTCCATGCAGTAATTATAGATGAAGTAAAGGCTTCCGGTTATTTCAGCTTTTAAGTAGACTCAACACCTGATATTTCACATATAGATCAGTTAAAGGTTGTTTTTCGATATGTGGTAGATGGAGAGCCCATTGAGCGCTTTTTGACTTTCTTGGAGCTGCAAAGTCACGCCAGTGAAGGTATGGCTAAGCAAGTGTTGCAGTACTTACGTGAAGCTTTCAATATTGATTTTTCGAAATGCAGAGGTCAGTCCTACGACAACGCAGCTAAAATGTCTCATGAGTTCTACAAGGGCATGCAGACAAAAATTCTAGAAGAAAATGAGTTTGCTATATACATACCCTGTTCTGCCCATTCACTAAATCTTGTAGGCAGAAGTGCCGTTAACTCTTGTTTAGATACAGCAAACTTCTTCCATACAGTGCAACTGATCTATACTTTTTTCTCAGCTTCACCCAAACGATGGAAGATTCTGAAAGGATGCCTTGTGAATGAAAAGCTGGTAAAGTCCCTTTCTGATACCAGATGGGAAGCACAGGCTGCTGCAACTGAAGCCATTCTAAAGTCTCAACCTCAGATTATAGAAGCGTTAGAATTTTACAAGAAGACCAGTCACAGAAGGGGGACATCAGAAGAGAAGCAGAAAGCATTGCAAAGAAGATGCAAGAATTAGAATTTGCTTTCATGCTTGTCTTTTGGGAAGAATTGTTACAACATTTTCACAGGGTCAGCCAAGCTCTACAAAATGAGCACGTGAACTTGAAAGCGTGTGCTGATTTGTATTCTTCACTAGCAGATCACTTGCATGAATCTAGGAATAAATTTGCAAGATTTGAAGAAGCTGCAAAAGAAATAACACCAGGTGTCGATTATAAGTCAACTTTGACCCGTAATCGTAAATGAAAGACAGTGGTCATTGATGGTGATGCCCCTGGGGTATCTCAGAATGCCAGAGACAAATTCCGTATACTTGCTTTCTACACTATTGTTGGCAAACTTGAGACAGAGATGAGTAGACGAGGACAGGTATATAATGATCTAGCAGTTCGATTTTCTTGTTTGGTCGATGTCGGTGTACCACAAACATCTCAGTGTTGTGTAGGACTAATAAATTATGATTATCCTGAAGATCTGAACAATAATTTATATACTGAACTACAACAGCTCGTCATATATTCCCCACACGTTTCGTGCATCAAAATCTGAGAACAACACGTTCAGCCATGCAGAACTCTACAAAGTAATAGTTAGAGACAACATCGAGTGTGCTTTTCCAAATGTAGAAATCGCCTAGCGCATATTTTTAACATCAATGGTTACGAACTGTTCAACTGAGCGCTTTTTTATCAGAGCCAAAAAATCCAAGTTGATCGACAATGAAACAAGAAAGGCTTGATTCCTTATCTTTCCTGATGATTGAGGCAGACTTATTGCGCAAAATTAACTTTGATGATTTACTCAAAAACTTTGCCAGACGTAAATCTAGAAAAAAGAACTTTAAAATGTAAATGTGTGCTCTATCTGACTTTCTTATCTATCAAAAAAGTGACAGTAGTTTTGTCTACTATTATTACAAAATAAATTAACTATTAATTTTAATACAGAAATACCTTATTGTAGGTTTTATATGAGTGAAAATACCTTATTGTAGGTTTTATATGAGTGATAGTAGTACAAAAATATGTGTTTACATTTCACAACTGTTTTTCTTTGTTAGTTTTTTGCATAATATTGAACATACCAGCAGTCAGTGGAGGATCGGGGGCCCGGGGCAGTAGGGGGCACCCATGTGGGTTTGTGCCTAGGGCACCAAGATGGCTTAATCCGCCCTGGTAGTGTAGAGGAGTACAACTTCTAGAGACTGATAGTGTCTGGCACTTGGCAGGGTAAAATTCCATGTCCCAGCTCATCTCCCACTCAGCTAACAGATTGAGATCCTTTAACTTTAAACCAAAACTTCAAAAATTCTATTACTTCATGAATTTCATTAATGCTCATCCAAAGCGTTAAAATATTCTAATATTATTATTATTTTTTTACAGAATGACGCTATTCCTCTTGCTGTCCTATCGGAAACTTCATTTCAGCCGAGTGCTATTTTAAAAAATTTAATTCTGTTTTTAATATTTTTGTTCGCCGATGAAGACTTCTTGCCGACACGTTTGTTGTTTTGATGCTTGCTTTTTTTCAGGTTTTCCTATACTTTGTTTCGCCCATTTCCTTTTTTGCTAACCTGATTGTTATCTGCTCTCATCTTAAATTATTACCACGCTAGATCATTACCAGCTGCCAAAAGGCAAACAAATTTGGCAAGTCATATGAGTCTGAAATCATAACAAATGCGCTTACATAATTAAATGAGAACATTATTCCTGGATGTAAAAATGCGATCCTTATGCCATAGTTTCCGACACTAGTTATCAAGTGCAAAGTCAGACAAAAAATATTGTTATAACTTATAACGTTTATTTATTCATTTTGCATGTACATAACCCATAAAGGCTTGTTAAGGACGTAAGCAAAATTGCGCTTTACTTATATGTAGGGCCGTGCGAAGGGGTAATCGCCCCGGGCGCCAACAGCAGGGGTCGCGCCTATCGTCTTTAGATATATCATTAAATGATAAATCCCATGCATTTCTTAAACACAAGGGGCTTTAAAACGACCTTTTACTGGTCCGCCCCTGTTGGCACTTGTTCTATATATTGAGGGGCGGCATTTTGAGAAACCTTAGATGTCATCAGTGTCCGCGGCTGTTAAGGCGTAAGAAGTTACACGGATACACCTACCAAACACAAAAGTAACAACTTCCGGCGTCTGTAGCGACGCGAATAGCAATTTTATTATTATAATATTTTGAAGGATTTACTCACATTCTCGGACATATATTTTTTCATCTATTGTAATAATTTCTTAGATAATTGATTCAAGAACAATTACCAAACGGGCTGTTTCAGATTTAGCGGCCCACATTGACTTTGTTAAGGTTAGGCTTAGGGATCGATTTAGGGTTCGGGTTAGGCTTATTTAGGGTTCAGGTTAGGCTAGGCATAGGGATCGATTTAAGACGTAAAAGTGCGCGTATGGAAATAAACGCGGGCCGCTTTCTCTGAATTTACCAACAAACGAATTTTATTTAACTACAAAGTAAGTAAATTCCTTATTAAAGAATAGCCTGAATTGAGGCAGTCGACTTCAAACTTCTGATCACACTCACACTCTCACTCACAGTACAGTGTGCAGGGTATGTACAGTTCAGTTCACTCACAGTCACACATAACTCATCTGGTAATCTACCACTTGAGCGTCGGCCAAGAAAAAATCCAGCTGTTCCGATTGGAAGGGCTATTTAAACAACTATTCTTATATTATTTTTAATGACATTGGTTTTACGTATTCATTCCAATAATAATAATAGACAATTTTTTTAAAATAGAAAAACTATAATAATTTTTTTGAAATAGAAGATGTGTGAAAATGGAATTATGCATAGTTCTCCCCCAATTTGACAAAGAAGTTTAAAAAAAATATAATTTCCACGAAAAAGGTTGTGGTACATGAATCCACGTAAATATGAAAGGGAAAGATCACTGCGCTTCTTGTGCCATACTGTCTTTTCAGTTTACGCTTTTTGAGTATTCATGTTTTCCACATTCTGTATGTGGACATCCGCGTCATCTGGATTAAAAAAAATAATTGTAGTCTCCTTTTCTTCCTGGCATATCGGTAGCTTGGCAGTAATAATTATTTAAAAGTATTAGTATTGTGCTACACAACTTTATGGCCTCTATAGGGAGCAAAAATATTAACAGACTCCAATATAAGAATAGTTGTTTAAATAGCCCTTACGACCGGAACAACTGGATTTTTTCTTGGCCGACGCTAAAGTGGTAGATTACCACTCATCTTACATCAGCATTATGATTCACGACTAAGACTAAGGGTAGTGACTTAGGCACTTAAAATAAAAATGGTCACTGAAAATGCCACTATTTTATCAGTGGCCGCCATCTTGGTTGACACGTCACGTGAAGTCATCTATCCCTATGCCTAACCTAAAACTCTAAATCGATCCCTCTGCCTAACCTAAACCCTAAATCGATCCCTCTGCCTAACCTAAACTCTAAATCGATCCTTATGCCTAACCTGAACCCTAAATTTATCCCTAAAATAGTTTAGTATAAATAAACAAAGGGAAGTCACTCCCTGGAAAATAAGTTGTGGCATCTCGAATGATCATTAGCCAAAATAAATTTTGCTTATTCTTTCATGTTTCAAGGAATAGTATTATATTTATATAAGTAATATATCAATTTACTTGTTGTTGAGATTGAGTGGATTTAAAAATATGATTCATGATTCCAATTTATCACTATCAATTTTAGGTGATTGTAATTGTAAATTAGCCGTAAATTGTAATGTTTCATGATAATTTTTTAAAAAAATTAGTTTTGCCACCAAACCAAAGTCCTAAGTAACAATTAACAAATGGCATGATGTTCAATATACACTAGAATTTACTTTTGAAGATATTTTGTTTACTATGGATTGGCAGACCAGATTGATGCTATTATTGATGATTAATTAACTAATGGTTGTTTTAGATTTAAAGGTTTATAATTTAGGGTAGACTTAGTTAAGAATGTATATTATATATATAATATTATTAATATAGATATATTAAATATTAGGACCCATCAAAGCAATAGTTTCAGATATTTTGGGTAATTTGGTAATAATATTTTATTTTTAAAATTTTATTTTTGTCAGATTACAAGCAGAGTAATATGGCTTATCTCCTGGGCAGCCAAGTTTGTATTGAGAGTTTACAAACAGATGTTCAAGATTTACAGTTAATAATTAGTGATATTGTTTCAAGAGTTGGGCCCATAAAGACACATTCTTGGAAGTTTCCTGATAAACTTGCATGTGACCTAAATATTGAAGACCTTTTGGATTTATACAGCTGTGATGACCAAGATGATGTTGAAGATAGACAAGTTTCTCATATTGCACTTTATGAGCTGACCATTGACAGGTTCAAACAGAATTTTATAATTTTATTAACAATCAATTCTCAAAATCATAATGAATTATCTTGAACATTATTAAACATAATTTTTATTGAAAGAAATATTAAACATAATTTATTTTGAAAATATATAATTAAAATTAAAAAACTTTAATCAGAGACATCAGTATTAAATAAAACATTAGAAGATATAATAATTGCTTTATTTTTTCAAACCCTGGTAGAAAAACCTAAAGGTTCACCTGCAAAAGATGTGGAATCCAAATTTCATTATGATTTTGATAATATATATGTTGAAAAACAAGAAAGACATTATCATCTTTCTTGGTTTTTTTAAGCTTCAACTTACCTAGTTCTACACATTTTTTCATTTGGCACATCTATATAAATAAACTAGTTCTAATGATGCCATTGGTCATAAAGTTTAAAGATATGTAAATGAATATCTTTTTATTTGTTCAGGCTAGTTCTGATGGTGAAAGCAATCACAAAGTTTATAGATGTGTACTTGAACAGAAATATTAAGAACAAGACATGTCCTGATAATGGTGAATCCGAGATGTCAAGCTCTGTGGGTCTAACGGCCAAGCAACACTGGTCAAATATGGTCAGACTACACACATGGCTCCAGCAATTACAGTCTGAGGTAAGTTAAATGAAGGTTCAGTGAAAAAATTTATAGACATAGAAATTCAAGCATATGAAAGGACTGTAATGAGTATTAATGGGATGAAATGACAAAAAGGGCCATACATATGTTTGTACTATTATGGTTTGAAATTTGTGGGTACAGGTATGAATTGGCATATTAATATGTGGAGTTACTGCTGTGGGTTGACATATAATAGTACCAGTATGGGTAGGCTTGTGATGATTCTGGTATGGATTGGTCTTCCTGGTGCTGAACATTTTTTGTTCCATGATCTTTATTAACAGTACAAGTGCTCACTTTCACTACCAAAAAACATTAACGTTAATATTACTCAAAGATATATACCTTCAAGTAACATATTGACAATAATTTTATTAATCCAATAAAAATTTGGGTTTTCTATGTTTTAAGTCCAATTTTGCCGATAGTTTCTATATAGTATTAAACGTTTGACATGAAATTTTTTATTTACATCATCCTTAAAGACCATATTATTAACAATATATTTTATTAAAGATGCTAATGATTTTTTAAAATACCAAACAGAAAAATTCAGGGAATGGAAAAATGGCTGAACTGACAAAAGAGGCTGGTAAACATATGGAAGATTTTACAACTCCAACTTCTCAAACTGACCATGACGCACATATTAAATCTTTGTTGCTAAGTCCAGGGACACTTGGTATGGTTCCTCCAAACAATGCAGACTTAGTCATGATGGGCCTGGCTCCAATGCCTGAGAAAAAAAATAACTCTATCTCTCGTGATGTGAGCCACAAATCATGTCAAACATTCGAAACAGCCTTTGTGCCGTGTGAATCATGTGACATAATTCAGAGAAAAATGCGGGAAGGAAGTGAAATATTGATAAAATCTTGTGTTGATCAGGGCTTGCCATGTTCGCTAAAAAAGTTCAAAATCCAAGTTGCACATGTGGAACTCTTGACATTTAATGATGTGTGTAGATGGATGGCTGAGCAAACTAAGGATATTGCCAGGATAGCCAAACAGAATGAAATACTTCAATCCTCTGTTAATCCTTTGAAAGCTGAAGTGAAAGAAGCAAGTTTAAAAGTTAAAGCAGCAGATGAAAAGTATCAGGTGTATGAAAAGAAATTAGCAGATGAGAAAGAAGCAGGTGCAACACTTTGTTCAAATTTTGAGGTAAAGTGAAATAATTTCAAGTATAAACAGATTGTTAAATTATGATGCCTAAAGTAACCAAAAAAAAAAAAAAAAAAAAAAAACTGTATAAAAAAAAAAAAAAAAAAAAAAAAATAAAAAAAAAAAATAAAAAAAAAAAAAAAAAAAAAAAAAAAAAATAAAAAAAAAAAAAAAAAAAAAAAAAAAAAAAAATAAATAAATTTTGAGGTAAAGTGAAATAATTTCAAACAAAAAAAGATTGTTAAATTATGATCCCTAAAGTAACCAAAAAAAAAAAAAATGCAGGCACTGTGTTCTCAAAATAGTCAAAAAATTTCCATTTAATAAATAACTTTAAACATTCAAAATATGTCATTTAGTAAATAACTTTAAAGAGACAAAATATAAGAAAACTAAATAAGTTTCCTAATAAAAAATTGAAACAAATTAATTTACAGGTAAAACTTAAAGATCAGGAAAAACAACACATCAAAGTGTTGAATGAAGAGAAAAAGAACAGAGAGGTTTTAATGAAAGAAAAAGACAAACTTGACCAGGAACTGAAGAAAGTTAAAAGCCAACTTGAGACTCAGATGAAGGCCATGAAAAAACTCGGTGACACAGATTTAAATAAATTATTTAATTATTACCTAAAGCTCTTGAAAGGTCAATATAAAAAATGAATCTTTATACATATAGCAGTTCAAACTAAACAAATTATAACCTAAAATGTAAAAAAAATTACATTTATATTAAAATATGTCAAAATGTTTATATGCTAGTCAGAAATGGTATTTTACTACTTTTAATTATATAACACGCTATTTTTAAAATATGAGTCTTCCATGTTATCAGGAAAGGACACATGAGCATATGCCTCCCACTGTCATTACTAAAAACATAAAACAGAGAAAACTTAAAAATTAATAATCTTCACCAACATTTTGATAGAATATATAAATATTTATGTGTGCTTTTAGAAGGCTCTTTGTAATATTTATAACTATCTTTCACATTTCACTGATCTAGAAAGAGATTTTAAAAAACTTGAAGTTGAGCTCAAAGAAAAATCAGAAAAAGCCAACAAGTCATCCCAGGTGGCGGAGGCGATGGTTACGCTCAAAGTCCAACTGGAAGATGTCACTGCCCAGATGAATAGCTACCAGAAGGCTCTGGCCAAGGAGCAGGGGAAATGTAGAGGTCTTGGTAAACACAATGAGGTTTGTTCTTGGGAATGGGGTGTCATTACAATATGTGATCTGTTTGTCATAATTTTTAAAATCTAAAAAGGGCCTGTAACACTGTAACCACCTCACACTCTGGATGGGGCCCTGATGTTATCTAGGACGGCCCAAGGAACACTTATTGGATGGGAGGCGCATGGACCTAGAATCCTCACAGCAAAAAACACAGGATCAATTTGAATGTTATCCAATGCTACGCACCAACAAACGAAAGTGACGAGGAGGACAAAGATGACTTCAACATATTAATAATAATAAATAATAATAAAGTTCATTTCAAAAACACGCTTCATCCCCAAAGGCTCGAAGCGCGGTACAAAGTCAACAAAAAACAAATCTATAGTTTACCACATTTAAAACAAACGCAACACTACAAAAACTAAGTACAAGCATACAATGGCAAAGTCTTTCTAGCCATTTCAACCATAAGCAACACAGCCATTATGCATTAACTGGAAAATAATGTTGACAATCATCCCAGAAGGTGTTTGCGAAATAGATGTGTCTTTAAATCGGTTTTAAAGGACTCCAGTGTCTGGTTGTTTCTGAGATCGACAGGAAGGGCATTCCAAATTGGTGGACCAGCAAATGCGAAAGTGCGCTTTCCGTAAGTCTCAAGGCAAACACGTGGTGTCGAGAGTTTGCCACTATCGGATGAGCGGAGCTCTCTAGTGGGTACATAAGGCGTCAGCAGCTCTTTCAGATAGGACGGCGCCAGGTCATGTAAGCAGCGGTAGCACAAAGTTGCGATTTTGTACTCCATGCGAGCACGCACTGGCAGCCAGTGCAGCTCTCTCAGAAGTGTTTTTGCATGGTCAAACTTGCGTTTGCGGAGAACAATGCGAGCCGCATTATTCTGTGCTATTTGAATTTTATCCAGGAGCGTAGCTGGAAGACCCACCATAAGAGCATTGCAATAGTCCATGCGTGATAGCACAAATGCAGACATCAGCCTCTTTGTTGCATCAATTGTTAGGAAGGGCCTGATGTGACTAATCCTGCGCAGCTCTAGAAAAATCGCCTTGCATAGCATGTTAATATGACTTTCAAAAGTTAGTCTTCCATCTAGGTAGACACCCAGGTACCGCACTGTTTGAGCTAACTCAATACGCACACCTGAGAGAGTAATGGATGTCGTGTTATTTGCAGATTTCTGCTTCTGAGCGGTCGCGATGGGGAGCAGCTCAGTCTTATCATCATTTAATTTGAGCTTGTTTATGGTCATCCAGTGCTTAACCGACTCCATTGTCTTCTGTGTCATACTGAGCAGCTGAGGGAACTGAGAAGGGATCACGGATTGATGAAGTTGTGTATCGTCCGCGTACATGTGATACAACATGTCAAACTGCCTGATCTCTGCGCCCAGGGGCTGAATGTACATCGTGAAAAGCACCGGGCCTAGGACCGAGCCCTGGGGTACTCCGAATTCGATATTAGATTTCTTCGAAGTCAAGCCGTTTGAAATAACTGACTGCACCCGATTAGTCAGATACGATCGGAACCAACACAGGACGGTATCAGTGAGACCGAACGTTTGTTGCAGACGCTGGAGCAGTATGCCGTGGTCGAGCGTATCGAAAGCTGCCGATAAATCGAGTAAAGACAAAATCGATACCTTGCCCTCATCACAAGACGACAGAAGGTCGTTTACGACGCGCAACAGGGCTGTCTCAGTAGAGTGATGCACCCTGTATGCTGACTGGAATGGTTCAAACAAGTTAAACTGAGTGAGGTGATCCTGGAGTTGGCGGAGAACGACTTTTTCTAAGATTTTAGAAATAAATGGTAGATTAGAGATGGGGCGATAATTTTCCATCACATTTGGATCAAGATTTGATTTCTTTAATAGTGGAGTAACGATTGCCTCTTTAAAAGATGATGGAACAATACCAGTAGTTAAGGACTTAAGTATTACTGACCATTGTCCAGGGTCGCCCTATTCATTCTCATGGGAGACTTCAATGCCAAGATCGGCAGTGACAACACTGTCATGGGGCGACAGGGGATAGGAGAGATGAATGACTACGGAGAAAGATTTGCTGACCTATGCGCCACAACAAATCTAGTCATAGGCGGGAGCTTCTTCCAACACAGGAGGATACACAAGGTCACATGGGTTTCACCGGGCCTCCAAATGATGAACCAAATAGATCACGTGTGTATTGGGAAAAAAATTCAGGCGATCTCTCCAACATATACGTGTCAGAAGAGGAGCTGACTTTGGCCCAGACCACCATCTCCTAGTCGAACAACCCTTTCCCAGGGGTCGCCAAAGACCATCGGAAAACACATATGCTATACAGTTATGAAGTAGCTATGAAAATAATTTTTTGGTTGGGAGTCGCCACAACATGAGGAACTGTATCAAAGGGTTGCAGCATTAGGAAGGTTGGTTGAGAACCACTACCCTAGTGGCATGACTAAGACTAAAACTGAAAAGGCATTACACTGAGCAGACAACATATAGCTTGCGCTACAACATCCCCTTCCTGAAAGATAAAGCCAAACGGGAAGAGTTCAAGATCACTCTATCCAACAAGTTCCAAGTCCTACATGAACTGCTAGGAGATGAGATGATTCATGGAAAGTGGCAGGGAGTGAAGAAAGCAGTCAAATCAACATGCCAGGAAGTGTTGGGAAATAGGAAACATACACACAAAGAATGGATAACAGCAGAGACATTGAAGGTGATAGAAGAGAGAAAAGGTAAGAAGGCAGAAATTAACAACAGCTATACACGAGCGCAGAAAGTTAGGTTCTAAAAAAGAGTACTCAGAAGCAAATAGGAATGTAAAGAAAAGCGCTAAGATGGACAAAAGGAACTTTGTAGACATGCTTGCCAAAGAAGCGGAAGAAGCAGCCTACCAGGGGATTATGTGGGAATTGTTCGCTACCATCAAGACGTTGTCTGGGAAGTTCAGGAAGCCAGAGAGACCAATGAAGGACAAAGATGGTAAGAACATACCAAATGAGGAGCAACAGAGAAGCAGATGGAAAGAACACTTCGAAGAACTTCTAAACAGGCCAGAGCCAAGTAACCCACCAGATATCCAGCCAGCTGACAGTGACCTGGTTATTGACTGCTAGAGGGATCACCTTACTGTCCATCCCAGGCAAGGCTTTCAACCACATACTACTCAACAAAATGAAAGACGCTGTTGACCCCCTGTTGCGAGACCAACAAGCTGGCTTCTGCACCAACAGACCCTGTACAGACCAAATTGCAACACTACGCATTATCCTAGAGCAATCACTGGAATGGAACTCGCCTCTCCACATCAACTTCATCAACTACAAGATAGCCTTTGACAGTGTGGATAGGCAAACCACACTGGAGACTGTTGAGACATTATGGGGTGCCGCGGAACATCACAGACTTAATCAGGAACTCTTTGAAGGGATGACCTGCCGAGTTGTCCACAGACAACAGGTGTGGACAACAGGTGACAGATGCTTTCCAGGTGAAGACCGGTGTGAGGCAAGGATGTTTGCTTTCACCTTTCCTGTTTCTATTGGCCATTAACTGGGTGATAAAAACATCCACACAGCAGAAGCGGAATGGTATACAATGGACCTTGTGGGACCAGCTTGACGAACTCGATTTTGCTGATGATCTTGCCCTTCTCTCCCATACCCAACAACAGATGCAGGAGAAAAACCAGAACTATTGCAGCCACTTCTGCATGTATTGGTCTTAATATACACAAAGGGAAGAGCAAGGTCCTCAAGGTCAATGCCACCAATACAGCACCCATCAGACTGTAAGAGGAAGCGCTCGAAGAGGTGGAGAGCTTTATCTATCTTGGCAGCATCGTGGACTAGCCAGGTGGGACGTATGCTGATGTCAAAATAAGGGTTGGAAAGGCACGGGCAGCCTTCCAACAACTCAAGAATGTCTGGGTCTCCGAACGCTTGAGTAACAACCTAAAGATAAGAACCTTCAACACCATGGTGAAACCTGTTCTACTATATGGTGCAGAGATATGGCGCCGTGAAGCGGAAGCAGATACCAAGAAACTTGGCCACACTTGGGGGAAGCTGGAGAGTTTGGCTCAGGATCGTTATGCCTGGAGGACTCTTGTAGGCGGCCTATGTCCTAGACTCTTGTAGGCGGCCTATGTCCTAGACTCTTGTAGGCGGCCTATGTCCTAGACTCTTGTAGGCGGCCTATGTCCTAGACTCTTGTAGGCAGCCTATGTCCTAGACTCTTGTAGGCGGCCTATGTCCTAGACTCTTGTAGGCAGCCTATGTCCTAGACTCTTGTAGGCAGCCTATGTCCTAGACTCTTGTAGGCGGCCTATGTCCTAGACTCTTGTAGGCAGCCTATGTCCTAGACTCTTGTAGGCGGCCTATGTCCTAGACTCTTGTAGGCAGCCTATGTCCTAGACTCTTGTAGGCAGCCTATGTCCTAGACTCTTGTAGGCAGCCTATGTCCTAGACTCTTGTAGGCGGCCTATGTCCTAGGAAGGATCACAGATGTTGATGAAGATCAGCTGCTGTCCTTGAGGATGAAGAGGTGAAAGAAGAAAAGAAGAAGGGCCTGTAACTCTCTCAGCATGATAAAGTCTAGCAACTTTGATGAGTAACTATTGCATTGTGCTCGCAATGAATTTATTGTAATAAAAAATTATAAAATAACCCACCAAAGTCAAGTAAAAGGCTTTATGCATTCAGTTTTTTTATAATTAAAAGAACTATTCTAAAAACAAGCATTTTGCACAGATTTTTTAACCATTAAAATAAACTTTATTTTGAAAAAAATTAAAAAATTATATATATATTGAAAATCTCTTTGTAATTTAATCAACACATTTTTTCATCTGCAAATATCTGTATTAGATCATGGAATGAAAGAAATTATTTTTTTTTAAATTTCAGTCACTGCAGGCCAAACAAGAATCCCTGTTATCTAAGATGGGACAACTTGGTAAGGAAAATGAGGAGGCTTTGTCTCAAGTTGCTGCCCTTGAAGAAGAGAACGACTTTCTAGACGATAAACTTCTAGAACTAATCTCGGAGACCAACAAGATGAAAAAGATCATTGCCGAAAATGAGGTTTTTCATCATAAATAAACTTATTCTAGTTATGGGATTTTACTTTTAGGAATACACAGGGCAGGCTCAAGATGGATACCATGCGTGATCATCACACACAAACATTTTTTCTGAACTCTTCCAATAATTTTCCAGAGGGTAATAATTGCCTATTTGCAACCAACCTAAAAATGTCTAGCTATAGCCCTGAAAAAACACAGAGGTGATCTGTATTTATCAACAGAAAATCAAAACTTTCAATTCTGGTCTTCAAAGATTGTATTTTTTAAAAGTTTGTTATATTTATATGCAATAGCTTATAACAATGTACATGAAAAAAACCCACACATAATACTTGAGATTAATTCATAAAACATGCTTAAAAATCCTCACATTTCTTCAGGTCATTATTAAGAATCTGGAAGAAGAAAAAACGTCAATGGAAGAATCATTGAAAGAGAGTCACATGTCAGTTGAGAGACTTAAGTCAGAACTCAAGGATGCTAAGGAACGGGAACACATGATTGTTGAATATCCTGACCTCAATGGGCCTGTCAATAAGGACCTACAGGGTAAACATTTTTTTTACAGAGACTTATAAGGTTACTTTATGGGATCTTTAGGGTAAATACAAGTAACCAGTGTATGTCAAAAGTTTTAATATGTAGATCCGGACAATGAGATGGCACTTATGTCTTTTCGTGTGACCTACATTAAGGTACAGGTGACATCACCACAGACATGAAGAATCAAGTAACTGCCAATCTTATACGTATACATTTGCTGGAGGAGCAGAACCAAAGTCTTAATGAGTCTGTCAGAAAGTTGAGTGGCCTTCAGAAGGATTCTTATTATGGGATGACTGGGGACACACAGTTGACTCATAAGGTAGGGTCCATTCAAAGTCAAGATTTTTTTTTTGCAAGCAAAAATTAGAGGTTTTTATATAAGAGGTAGGGTTGATGATTTCGGTATTGTCTAAAGAGGCTCTTAAGTTATGGGGTTTATTGTGATTTTTAATGATTATAAGCTGAGGATAGTGTGACATTATAAAATAAATTGCATAATTCTATCCCATTTTGAAAAAGTTTTTTGGGGAAAATATGATTTTTAATTCGTGTTTCAAAGGGAAAGAGAATATACACGGACTACAGCTTTTTTTCTTTGACAGGCTCAACCACTCCATCCAATACATGCTAAGCCTTTGTGGCAAGGGATCAGTAACAATAACAACAACAGCAGCTATCTGCAGATTCATGAAGATAACAACCAAAACAGTTACAGGTCAGCTTGACTCTTTGATACTTGGGTTATAACAGGTCAATGAAGCAACAATCAAATAATAAGACAAAATCAGTGATAAGCTTAATCAATGATAAGCTAAATCAGTGATAAGCTGTATGAAAAGATAAGCTACAATTAATTATGATAAATGAAGGACTGCATTCGAGCTGTGTGAAGGAAATAGTAGAACAAGTTATGTTGAAGCTCGAATTGAAAGAAAGGACAATAAGAGAAAAACGTTTCAGCTAAGAGCCTTCCTTAGCAGACAGGACAAATGAAAATACAACAAGAAATAGAAACTAGTTAAAAAAATTAAGTGTTCACCATTGTTATTGAAGGCAATACAAGCAAAAGTTCTAATCAAGTTATTCTGGTTCTGGTAGGGTACACTGCTGAATCCATGTACTGGCATATGTGCAACAGTTGGGCATGCGATGCTGGTATTTTAACGGCTCCTAGCGGATGCTAGGGCAGTTTTGAAGCTCTCAATTGACGTTGAGTTTATAGCGGTATTGTTCAGGTGGTTCCAAGCGATGATTGTTTGTGGGAAAAATGATTGTTTATATTGGTCCGAGGCACAGTGAAGCATTTACTATTGTTCTGAATGTAAATGCTGATGGGGTTGTTAGAGGTGAAGTCAGTGTTTAGTGAGTATTTGGCTCTGATTAAGCGACCTGGCTTCTGTGGGGGAAGATACGTGTTTGCTGGGATGGCCGGCACTAGCTCTGTGACCACTTTTATGTAGTGATGTTAGGCGGAGCTTTTCTCATCTGTCTTTGAGGGAGGGGATGTCAAATCTTTTTAAGAGGCCAGTGACGAAGCCAGGAGTGGTGGATTTGTGATCACATGCGATGAAGCACACTGCGTTACATTGGATTCGCCCGATCTCGTCAAATTCTTGCTTTATGTATGGGTTCCAGATGATCGCACCATTGGTGACCATATTCTTGTAGTGGGCGAATAAGTGCAAGATAGGCATTTCGTTTGTATGAGGTTGGGAAGTGGCGCAGATTTCTTGGAATGAAACCTAGTGTGGAGTTAGCTTTTTTTAAAATTTTGTTTATATGGGGTGACCATTTTAGGTTATTCCAGAAGAGAATTCCAAGGTATGGATTATTTGATACTTGTTGGAGAATTGTGTTGTTTAGGAAGTAAATATAGGTTGATGTTCTTTTTTTCTTGAGTTGCTCATTGTGTAGCATATGGTTTCTCTATATTTGTGTCTTTTTTTAGGCACAATAACATAAGGATTTATATTTTATAAAATAAATCTTACATGTATAGAAAATATGATTTATTAATACTTTTATATATATTTTAGAATACACATCAGTTTTGTCACACGCGATTACTGAATCAAAGAAACTTTGAGCTTTGGCTAATTCGCACTATGAAGTCATTTGCTTGTTTTTGTAGGACAAATTAATTTTTATTTTATTTCGTAATATTAACGCCGCACTAAACACGCACTAAAAACAACTGATGTTTTTTGTTTTTTTCCAATAATTGTAATTCTTAGATCATAATTTAAAAAAAAAAATTGTTTTCTTAACTTTCAAACTCGTATAAAATGTTTAAAATAGTTCCTTAGTTGTTACTTTAAGTTGATTTGCAATTTATAATAATAATTAGCAAAATACCCGTGCTTTGCAGCGGAGAGCCTTTTTTAAAGAAAAAAGGTACGAAATTATCAAGTATTTGCATATTCCGGAGACTATACAATGCATTCCCTTGCAAAAATAATATTAAAATTTAAAAAAACAGCAATTATTGAAAATGTGCTATGTTGTTTCTAGGGATCATCTTCCACCCCAAAACATGATTTCTGAAAAAGATGATTGGCCAAGAAGAAAGAAATTAGCCTGGGAAACCAACAGTTTTCAGGTCAAAGTCACAGAAGCAACAAAGCCTGCCACAGAATTCCTGATTGGCCATGCCTTCTCAAACCCACAGCATGGTCATCATCAGGAATCTCCTAGTAAGGAGAGGCCACACTCCTCAAAGATGAGAGCCACAGGGGGGGGGGGGGGGGGGGAGGCATGCCAGCCATGTCAGCCATGTCAGTTGAGGGGTGAGGGTGGAGAGGTAAGGTCTGGGTGGAAAGAGTAAAAGTAGTTAGAGGAAGGAATTATGACTTAATTTCTGAATGAAATGTTTGATCATTTCATCTATATCTGTAAGTCCAAAGATGATGTTTATAATTCATCTTCTAAAAATGTCATCTTTATTTTTCTCTACCTTTTTTATATCATACAATTTCAGTGCCGCCACCTACAGAAAATTTGTCATCACTTAAACACCATGGTTTACTGTTTGAGGACCACAAAATAGATCAAAATTCGGAACTTCCCCTGTCTTGTCCACGCTGTGATAAAATGTATTCATTAGCCAGAGATCTAGAGATACACAAAACTTATTGCTGCCAGTAGTGGTCAGGGGATTGATCAGGATGTGCAGTTTAGACCCTACTGTCTTTTTAGAGTGTTATATTGGGTCATTGAGTCTAAGTGGATCATCATAAACATACATGAAGACTAAAGAAATATTAAGCAGCGAGCTGAAGATTTTTATCTATCTACATTCATTTTGTTTGCTTTCTATTTAAATTTTTTTATTTTTTTTTACTAAATTTGTGATATTTTTGGGATTTTATTAATTAAATGTATTCATTAAATTGACGGCTTATATAATTATATTAATTTGTTTTGTATGTTGTATTAATTTTGTTTCTGTTTTTCCTGTCCCCTTGGATATGAATTTTATTTTTGTTGTGTAAAAAATTGTAAACTAAAAAAAAATTTTTGCAAGATAAATTTAAATTGATACAGATTAGCCTACCACAGATAATTCATTGTTCTTCACCTTCATCATAGATAAGTTACTGTGGAAAATGAAATTAAATATATTAAAATCATAAAACCTGAAATATTTCATGTTACACATATTTTCAACCCAATCTTCACAAAAATGAATACAAGAAAAAAGTAGCTATTATATTCATTACATTTCACTGACCACTTATATACAATTTTAACACAAAGCATTTTTACAAATATAAAAAATCTTGCACCTCCAATGACACACAATTAATAAAGCATGAACAAACAGAAATTCTATTTGAAAAAAAAATGCATTTGAAATTGCTATTTGAAAAGATGTTGACTGCGAAAAATTATGTTAAGATCATGTGTTAGAGCAGGCCTGCACAACTCAAAAGGTGAGGCAGGCACTTTATGAAAATATAGTGCGGCTTAAAGAAAATAGGGAAAGGGGGCAAAGCTGTTAAGAAAATTATAATAAAGAATATTTGGTTATTTCACGGGCCACAAAGTGGTTGCTGGCAGGCAGTTTTTTGTGCAGGCTTGTTGAAGAGTCATAAAACAAAATGGATATGTTTAATATACAGGGGTATGCCAGGCTGGTCTTTTAAAGGGTGACATCTGTGGGCAAAAAATATTTAATAAAGAATGCTTGACAGTTTTTTTTAAAAGTCATTTATATTACAAACATATAAATATAAATAATCAATTGCCCTCAGACAACTTTCCTATCACAATTACGTTCTAGTCCAAGCATTTAATGTCCATAATGACCTTAAATGATTAACAACCTACCATAATGGGGGAATTTTTTTACAAATTGATCAAAATAATCCAGTAGAAATGTCTTTTCTTCTGGAGTCAAACTTCCCAATGGACCTGAAGAATAGACAACATCTGACATCTATGTTTTGATGATGTGATAAGCAATAATGGTTATGTTAGGTTACATTTCATAAAGATGTAAAATTTATTTTTATATAATAAATATTCATATCATATTAAAATGAATGGACCAGCCAAATAATTTGTTGTCAAATATAACTATAAAGACCTTACATTTGAAGAACAATTGCAAATCAAAATAATGTGTATATTAAGTAGCTGATACTGAATATTCCATTAACATACAAACTCCAACTGGTATTTTCCCCTTCATCACTTTGGAGATGGTGTCGGTGGGTCGTCGAGTTTGCACTCATAATAATCCCCCCCCCCGGCACTCCCCCAAACGGGCCAGAGCCGAAGCCCCAGGACGTGCGGAAGCGCGCCGGGAACTTCCCTCCTGGCTTGCGTGACGTCCGACGGACCGAAGGCGCTGCGTTTAAAGCGTCCGTAGTCCACTCTCCTATAGGTCAGGACGGCTTTACTTCCTCTCCGGGGAGGTGGTGTTGCGTTACCACTCCCCACCGCCCAGGGAGCTGTCCGGTCGGGACGTAGCGGAGACGAAACGGTCGCCTAGGCGCGGCTTTCTCAGGGCCGCGTCTTTTTAATCATTGACAAGGGTTTGGCGGCCACCCATTGTCCCATACCCATCAACAGCAACAGTAATCATATTAGCTATCAACTTCCGTTTCGTTGGAAGTCATGCGTTTGACTGGGATTTTTTAGCTTCAGAAGGGAACCCCTCCCCCCCCCCCCTACTAGTCGGTCACGCCACGAAGAGGCAAAATCCCTTGTAACACCACTCGAGCAAGTGGTTCTTGGCGGCCACCCATTGTCCCATACCCATCAACCGCAACAGTAATCATATTAGCTATCAACTTCCGTTTCGTTGGAAGTCATGCGTTTGACTGGGATTTTTTAGCTTCAGAAGGGAACCCCCCCCCCCCCCCCCTACTAGTCGGTCACGCCACGAAGAGGCAAAATCCCTTGTAACACCACTCGAGCAAGTGGTGCTGAGCAAAGACCTCACAGAGCTCGGTCTTTTCCCTTCAAATAACTGTACCTGATGTTGTCTCCATCACATAGGTGTAACTTATGGTATATCCATCACATATTTGTACCTGATGTTGCATCCATCACACAACTGTACCTGATGTTGAATCCATCTCATAAATGTACCTGATGTGGCATCCATCAAATAACTGTATCTGGTGTTGAATCCATCACATATTGTACCTGATGTATCAATCACATAAATCTACCTAATTTTGCATCCATCACATAACTTTACCTGATGTTGCATCCATCACATAACTGACCTGATGTTGTGTACCTATAACATAACTGTACTTAATGTTGTATCCCTAAAATAACTGTGCCTAATTTGTACCCATCAAATGACTGTACTTGATGTTGTACTAACGTATTTTATCCCTATAATAACTATAACTGATGTTGTACTTCTCCATAGGGGCCATCCATAAAGTAAGTCACGCTATTTTTGACCATTTTTAGCTGCCCTCTCTCGCCTTGTATCACTCTTCCAAATAGGCCGATAGGGGCCGTCCAAAAAGTACGTCATGCTATTTTTGACAATTTTTCCCCCCCCCTCCCCCCTGTCACAAACTGTCACAAATCACGGACCCCCCCCCCTCCCCTAAAGTACGTCACACTTTCGAACACACTAAAAAAAAAATTAACACCTAATTGAAATTTAATCTAAAACACATTTCACTATTAAACTGTTTTGAAATATAAAATTTCCACTTAATTTCCTCTATCACATTATTAAAATGACTTTAATAGTAGAATAGTTAATTGTCAACAGTTGTCAACAGTTGTCACAGTTATTCAATGAAGCAGTAACTAGATCTAGATTCAATCTAGATTGAATTTGAAAACAAAAATTGCAAAAATTAGGCGAGACAATTATATAATACACATCATCTGCTGCTTTTTCATTTACAATAGGTGAGGTCGAGTTTTAGATAATCTTCCGATTATGCAATTTTTTTACACAGGTTAAGAAGTATATTAGAGTTTTGAGAAACTTGACCTCACCAAATGATTAAATAATAAAAAGGACAGTGACAGAATTATGCAGCGGACAACATAGAAATAATAATACTTCAGGAAAGATGAAAGCAAGGCTATACATAAAACAAGGCTTCGCAACAGCATACTAGCGCTCCTAGCGAGAGGAATCGTGAACAACACATTCAGGAGATACTCATTTCGTGCTATTTTGACATAGAACTATTTCAAATGATACAAAAAAATTTTGACAATTTTTTTTAAAGCTATTAAATTCCACTAAAAAAATATAAAATAAATTAGAAGTAACATTTTTTTTTTTAAAAATGTGTGACGTCACACATGGCCTGCCCCCCCTCCCCCTGTCACAAACTGTCACACTTTCTTACACCCCCTCACTCCTCTGGTGCGTGACGTACTTTATGGACGGCCCCATAGCTGTATCTGATGATGTAGACTTCACTTAACTATACCTCATAAAGTACCACCAAAATACTGTACCGGATGTAGCTCCTCTTGTATCAGGAGTTGCCTCTTTTAATTTATTGTCCGCTGCAGCCTCGGCCATTTGTTCATCTGTTGTCGTAGGGTACTGTACCACTGTGGTCGTTGATGTTGTGGTTCTTATTAATGTTGTAGTGGTAGTCACTATTGTGCTTGCTGGCACTGTTTCCAAATGAGTTTAAAGAGTTATACGTTTAATGTTTCTTTTACACGTACAAGTGAAAGTCTGAAAGCTCTGTATGGATTTATCTAAAAGATTTAATGTGTCTCACAACAGACTCTCATGGTCTAGTATCTAGATAAATAGATTAAGAAATTAAGCGTGACCTCGTATACCCATCTTAATCAATTCTGATGACCCGTTCTTAAATCCAAATGCCAGCTAACTGAAATATTTTTCCCCATTTAAATCAATTACAATTAATTAATTTGTGCCAACCCTAGAATTGTCTATGATGAAAAAATGTATCTTTTGATCTAAACCAGAGATCACCAAACATTTTTCACGGCGGACCGTATAACGGACAAAATTACGAGCGCGAGCCGGCTAATTCTTCTGTACAATACATGCAAGCAAGAACGAAAGCTCTAGACAAAAAGACGAAAAACTAAGTTTAGTATTTCATGTTAATCATACAAGGCAAAAAAAGCAAAGACAACCAAGATTTATTTACTAAAAAAGCTAGCAAAGAAGGCGACGTTCGCAAAAAGAGAGTTAAGTCAGACCTAGTGCAGTGCGCACAGTGTTTCTTTCAGACATCCCCCCCCCGGCATTTCAAATTTTGGGGGGGGGGGGGGGGAGGGGGAGGGGCTGTTCCATTTGCCAGTGGCCAGAGGCGTAGCTATGGGGTGGCAGATGGGGCATAGGTCACGGGGCACGACTAGCGGGGAGGGGGCAAAATGGGCTTTGATGGCATTTAATGGTTGAAAATAACCGGTTTCAGAGTTAAAAGGAGGGGGGGGGGCGTAAAATTTAATATTTTCCCTTGACGCCAAACACTTTAGATACCCACCTGGCGTTGAAATAAGGTGGATTGGGTGGTCCACCGAGATGTCACTTTTTCTTTATATGTATGTATGTATGTATGGCATCTTTCCGTCTGCGGGAGACGATAGATAATCTTTATTGCTTGCAGCTCTTGGTGTGGCTGGTGAGACCAATCCTCGAATGGCAGTCTCTGTTACACTTCCCACACACGAATGCGGTGGAGCAGTATTTATCGGCCTTCCTCGCTCTTTTTGCTGCTGTTTCCGCCCTGTTTTGCTCCTCGGCATGTAGTGATCCTGCCTTCACGATGCCCCGCCATGAGGATCGATCCTCTGCCAGCTCCTCCCAGTTTGAGATGTCGATGTTGGCCGACTTCATGTCTCTTTTGCATATGTCTAAGTATCTCAGACGAGGCCGTCCAACTGACCTTTTCCCTGTCGCCAGCTCGC